CTCGTTCACAAACAAATAATTCCCCTCCGATCGAATCAAGGTGGTCTCCTTTGTCGTACCCCTTACCACACACATAACGCACAAGCACACACCGCAGATGGAGGTCATAGCACGCGCGACGTATGTGTCGTCTGCTTCGACGACAGAAGGACTTCATCAGCTGATTGTCCTATGTCATATCGCGCAACACGTGCTAGCAATGCCACCTAGATACAATGTTGGTTAATGACACTATAGCCCGGTGTTTCCGCTGCCACCTGATCCGGCCACGACATCCGGTCGCTATTTCCAGTCTAACACCCTCCCTCGCCGTGGGACCTGTGGAGTAGAGTGAAGGGTTTGGGCCGTTCCCCCGTCGAGCGTCACGGGTGAAGCACTCAGTGCGTTTCGTTCTGGCTTCGTGCTGGTGTTTGATTTTGTGCGTGGGAAAAGACATTTAGGGTTGTTTAGACCGTTTATAAACACTTTTTCGTTAGTGTTCACTGATTTAAGCTACAAAGTTCTAAAGGGACTGTTCAAAACCCCAAATATTTGGGCTGTACCGGTGATCGAACCCGACCCTCTTGGACTGAAGTCGATAACTTAGGCATCAACACGTAAAAACATTGTATTGTCAGAACATAGTATCAAATAAGTAATAGCATTGAGTATAGACGTATTATGTATATTTTATACCGGCACGTGTATACTCAATGGTAATAACCTACTAACTATTACAGGTTTAAAGTATTTTATTGGATTCATCTTTCCGATAATGTAAATTTTTTAACACAATGATCAAATTATAGTGAGTTTCTATCGATTATTCTTACGAAAACCCGATAAAAAGCCCTCAAAAACTCTATCACAATCTCATCAGCTCTTAAAAGCAGAGCACGGATCTAATGGCCATGAAGTCATCAATACTTGCACAATCCCAACGACCATTTTAACGACACGAAGTTGCACTGATAACGACCGGTCGTTCAGTTGATAAGATTTATCACCCGGCTTCGGACAATTTTAAAATCTGAATACGAGTTTTCGAACTTATAAACACGAAAGTATAATTTACTCTATGGTGTAAAGAGGTATCAACACATTCATATATATATATATGTTCATGTAAATTTGTTAATTTGTAACTAACTAAATTTATTAGTAGGCTAATGTATATGCGCATACCAAAACCATAATACTATTTCAATATCGCTCAATATTAAGTATCGGGTTCATTTTGATCGTCCCTGCCCCGTTAGATTATTGCAACACTAGAACTCGAAAATAAGAACAAAAGGTTTTATAGGGAACAAATATGCGTTTGACAGAATGGTCAATTTGATTTTCCTCTCTTCCTCCTTCGTATTAATTCGTCAGTTATCTAGAATAGTCTGTGACTCATCCGTAATGTGTAAACCACTCTGGATTTGGATAAAGCTCAGATTTCGAAAGCATTTCTAAAGTTTTTGAGGTCAGGGACCCAGAAGTGTACAATATTGGGTTGCTGACTGGACCCTCCAATGAAGATTCGACATAGAAATAAACCAATGAATGCATTGTAACATTGAAAATCAATCCACAATAAACAACTGTTGTGTGTGGTGGATACATTAAAATTGCCATCTGTATTGGAAACTATATGGTGTGATCGTTATTTTATCGCTATTAAAATACCACAGGCGACCTATGAAATAAATATACAAAGGTTGATTTATCAGAATTGAAATTGTTGAAACCGATTTTGTAAAAAGGTCAACATGGGTTTCCTTAGGGTAAAAACACAGTGGAGCAGGGCAGGTAGCTGGTAGCCTGGCTGGTCGCTTACTCGCTTAACCGCTGGTTACCTGGATGGTAGCTGGGACATACACACAGTGGCGCTCAGTACAGTCGCTTGTCAGCCGCCGTGTCGAGATGGCGAGTTCTAGTGACGAAGAGTTATTGCTCGATAGTACAGGATCTAAGTGGTTTTTACTAACTCAAGTAAGTGAACGCGAGTGTCAGGTTCATCCTGTCAACAAGGAAAGAAAGCAGCATTTTTGAACATGAGCTAAATAACATGTCCCAATACATTTGTCTTCAAATAAATATGCTTTACTATACGTATAATTGATTTTCTACCTCATCATTGCTGGTCACTATTATCTATTGAACATTATCTCTATAGTCTGTTAATATCACATCCATCCACATAAATACCTAGTTTTATTTGCATAAATTCAATGACAAGCTTTTTTAATATTTTTTAATTATTATCCATCAGAATAACATAGTGGGATGGGCTTGGTTCCACAAAGGCACACGAATAAAAACCTCCGATATTAATTTGTCTACGTCCATTATTTTATTTCTTGTAAACAAAACAACAACCAAATAAATCGATTAAAACAAACAACACTCCGTATACAGAGAATGCGCAGTGAAAGATCCGACGTGGAACTAGCGAACTCGAGAACACGTGGCTGTCAAGTTCTGCTATTTGCGCATGCCCCAGTCGAGCCATCCCCGCTTGCAGCTCCCAAACAATCGACTTGGCAATTCTTCTAGCTTGCCGCCTAGCTTACTGCTACCATCTCGGCTACCTGCTAGGCGCGACTGTGTGCGTACCCATAACAACGCGTGCGTTAATTCTACATAGCAGTAAGCGAGTAAGCGACCTGCTAGGCTACCAGCTACCTGCCCTGCTCCACTGTGTTTTTACCCTTACGCGCTTGCTCATAAACACTAAGTGTAGGATAAGCAGTGAGGGGAGGACAGTCAGTGGACACATGACATACTGTGAGTGACCTCAACACTGATTGCCTGACCCTGCTCCTTATCTTCCATCTCTCTCTCTTCCTCTCATCCAGTGTAATATGAGAATGTGACAAGTGCAGTGTTGCTTGCACTAGTGCCGGTGACGTAGGGTACTTTTGTTGATAAATTAAGATTAAAAGTTATGTAGCACAGGCATAGCCGATGGCTTCCTGAATATTTATATTCTTTGAAGTTCCTCAACCTCTACAAGAATTGCACTTTATTGACAGATTTTATCGTATTCTATTTTAACACGTATGTTGACATCTCCCTCCTTAAGTAGTGTAGGGTAATTTTATCGACGATCCACGACCTTTTAAGGTAGTACCTATAACTAACTGTCGCGTCGTAAATAATGAAAAGGTATCGTAGTACTAGACTTTAAGCGTAAATAACTCCAAAAGACTGCGTATTTTTGGTTCAAAGCATTGATTTTTACAATGGATTAGGGCTTATTAAATAAAATTGTATTCTTGCGTAAAAAGGCCATTCGACTTATTATTCCCTATATAAAGTGTAACTTGTAAGGTAGGTTTATTACTGCAATAACACCCATTTGCAACTGGTGTTGATTATAGTAGCAATAAAAAGCCCTCATAAAAAGTTTAACGTGTATCGTGAACAGAATTGAGACCGTAAACATTAATCATACTATGTTTTACAACTATAGGTACTTGACAAGCATCATTAGAAGGGATGCCATAATAGCTTTATTGATATCAATGCTGCTTGAAGTTGTATTTAAAAACTAAACACAGAGTTAAAAACACAATCGTGTACAGTAGGATAATTAAAACTGCACCAATTAAGTCACTCCCGTTTAATAGGATCCTCACACTCTTAGAACTCATTTCCACTAACTTCGCATGCAAAACACAAAATTCATTCACCCACAATCAGTTAGTTATCTAAGTAAACAAAACACTGTTTACATTCAAACCGCCCGCCATATTGGCCCAGCTGACAACCAGTTGAGGTTATGTTACCTGGGTGCTGTTGAACACACACACGGCGTTAATCCAATTGCCGACGTCGGCGCATTTGCACTGAGAATAATCACAAATTGTGGTCGACGAGGGCCCAACTAACACCAGCACCGACACTACTACTCGCAGAGACCAACCCATAGCGTACCATGATCATGTCGGACTCATCTCACTCGCTCACTCTCACTTCACTCACTGAAACGCTCATACGCTCAACGCTAGTCCCCCTCCCCTACGTCGCCGTCAACCCCTCCCCACCACTCCCCCCTCCACGCCCCCAGCCCGTCTCGTCTGCCACATGAATCAATGATGGCCTACAGAAGGCTATTAATGCAACTGACTTCTTCCTATCAACAACAGGACGCCGGGTTCTAAATCCCTGGGAATTTATCTGGTTAATTTGTGGGGGTTCGGGTGTGTTTCAGAAGTTATATTTTCCACGATGTATCAACAAAGCTAGGAGTTATTAAATTAACCCGGAAATAGTGACTGGGTGTTTGTTGGGGTGTATTTATGCGCCTTTTAACAAAGTGCATAAGTCGTTTGACGGTGTTAAATCTCTGGGGTTAGTGAGCCGGCTGTTGATATTAACGCGGTTATTAATTCACTCTTTAAAAGATGGGTAAAGCCATTGATATTCTGTTGATACTGTATTACTATAAATATTTCGTACGACGTTTATTAACTTGCCCTAATTACATTGTAAGTACTCTAAACTGTGCTCCTGACTACACCAGTATGATCTGCAATAATCTACAAACAGTTACAATTTGCAGCTTGATCGTAAATAACCTTGTTTAAAGAAACACCAGGGCCGTGGACCCTGAGTTCAGTAACGGAACTCTACATAATCATCTCGTTCTATAATTGACGTTGAACTAATTTTCAGCTTAAATTAAAGAAAAGATTGACGTCAAGATGTAAGTAAAGTAATGCAGTACAATTTAACATGTTACATCAGTGAATGTGGACTGGAGATGGAGCTGCAAGAGTTTCTAAGATGCATAAACTTATTTTACGCTACTTGAACTATGAACAATATTTTGCTAATCAAAATATTATAAGTGAAATAGTTCTTATAGTATTTAAATCAAATCTCAACGCCACAGTGGGTGTTGGCTGAAGCCACTCCTCAAAACTTGATCGAACTGTAATTTCCGATCACGGAAGCTAGAGGATAATCAGCTGAAAACTCTGTGTAAGACAAACAGCTGAAATCCACGTTTGTTTTCATTCCTTACATTCAATATTTTGGGTTTGTTTTTCAAAAACTTTCAAATGTTTACTGTGCCAATTCTGTGATAAACAAGATGAATTACACTCTACAGATCCACGGCGAACGCTGCCTGTACCAGGTTCCGCCCGGACTATACGAGCTGATGAGTGACATGTCCAGGGAGGTGCTGAGAGACAAGCCCGACCAGATATACAGGTACATCGCCAACTACCTGGAAACTCTTTTGAAACTAAGGACGAACGTGAAGAAGGCTTGTGAGATTGTGGAAGACGTGATCGCAGACAACCAGGAACTCTTCGCCTTGGTGGATGAGCTCGGAATGACTTGGGAAGAGGCGAACAGTCACGCGCGTGTGTTGCAGAGAGCCTTGAGGATGTACACGGCGAGGAAAACACTCAAGGAGAAGGTGCGGCTGGAGAAAGAAGAACTACTCAGAAAAACACCGATTTTAGAACACTCTCCAAGCTTTATTGAATATTTTGAGTCTTTGGGTATTGATTATGACACCGCCAACAGAGCTTCTTTAGTCATACAAAATGCCTTTAAAACGTTCTTGGCGAGAAAAAAGTTGAAGGAAATGATTAGAGGTTCTACACACACTATTGACATGATAGCACCACCCATGGATGTGTCTTTGGTGCTTGAGAAACCAACTAGAAGAAATTCTAAGTTGCTAGTGTATGAAGAGTCTACCACACCTTCGGTAAACTCTGGGTGGTTTAAACCAGAATCTACGAAAGTGAAAAGTACACTGGTTTCGACTTCTTCTGGGTTGGTTAAGAAAGCCCCTTCTAAACTCGTGTATGAAAAGTCTCCAAAGCCGTCGGTGGACACGGTTTGGCTCGGCGCTCAGAGGACATTGACGGGTGTATCCCGTGATGTCAGAACTCTAACTCAGAAGTCCTCCAAGAAAACTCTAGACCGAAAAATGTCAGACAGCCCATTGCAACAGTCAGTCTCACCAAGGGTAGAAACGAGGATACCGTCGTATTTCGACACAGAACAAGCCAGGGTTCCGATGATCTCAGATACTGGACAGCTGGAACAAGACATAGTCACTTTGTTTTCCACAGACACGATGAAAGTATCAAGAAGTTTCATCGGGTCTGTGTCCTCTCGTGCGAAAGGAGTGGATAACGTCCCCTCTCTTAAAAATTTAGGGAAGAAACCATCCAAGACAGACGAGGAAACGGCTAAAGAACTGTTCAGCATGATCGGAAGTACTTCAAGTAAGAAAAGATCCTTTGGGTCTAATACTGAGGAAGGTAATTATCCGAAATTTTCATTGTTGGCTCCAGTTGAAGGGGACTCTCCAAGTCTGAAATCAGACGATGTGAAGGCTCATTCCAGAACTTCCTTTCAAGATTCTCAAAGGACTGATACTATCCAGACCACTTCAACGATCCATGCAAGGACGTCATCGAGAATCGCGAAACTACGGATGAAACTTTCTCAGGACTACAAGTCACTGGACCAAACATGAAAATGTTATAATTTAGTAGATATGTTTCAACTTGCTACCATCCTTAATTTTAGAGGGAATTTATTTATTTTTACTTTAAATCAGACAGTTAATGTTCAAAAATATATTTTACAATTTTTTCCTTTCACTTGTAAACTTAGAAAAAGCTTAATACCTTTTAACGTGATGTACCGAATCATTATCACTACGAATCGTGAAAATTTGTTTGTTAAATTACTACTATGGTTAAACAATATACGGTTATATTTCTCTGTTTGAAAATAAATCAATTGTTATAAAATTATTCTGTAGTATTTTAAATTTTTATTAATTGTACATAAGTTGCACATTAGTCTAAATGCGAATTTCTAAACACTTCCACCCGGTAAAACACTGTTTTCCCACCTGTTTCCGTCCTTGCAAGTTTTTGCTTTTCTTGAATCTTTGGTTGAAACTCGCCAAGCGATTGACGCATTGCATAACGTTAAGCTGGGTAGTTATCTATACTGCATGAGATGCAGCGGAAATTCAGCATAAACCAGCATGTGCTGCTAATCTCAACAGTTGTGCAACAGACAGGTTTTTGCTGATGCGTTTCGTGGGCGGTTCACACGCCAGCATCAAGGCAAGCAGGAAAACTACGGGTGTTTATGAGATACCTTTTTTACGTTTAAATTTCGATATGGTGTTTTTTGATAATGCACCTTGGCACGCAAAACTAAACGTAGTAATTATTGATTTTTTGCTTGAATTTTGGGGGCTACATTAAGGACCAAAGATACGGTACGTTAAGGATTACTAAGGACCACAGATCAAACAAACCTTTCAAACCTTTACAGTATTCATTTTCATTTTCATCCATATGGATCAGCTGAATACAGACAGTTATATCTACTTGTTTATTTATTTACCGGTTTCGAATGTAAACTATACGATTATTGTAGAAAGTTTGGCTATCCCGAGCCCTGTGGTGTAAAAATCAGAGGATACAATTACAAATAAATTATAAAATTCATCCTAAATTTTAAGTCAACGGATAAACCATTGATTTTACATTTTACAAAGATTAGGCCTATACAACTTTATATAAAATCGTGGCCGGCGCCTGTAACAACAGCCTGTGCGATGCTTGCCTGTGCTGCGTATCACGTTTACTTCGTGAAGGAGTTTTGATCATAGAAAGTTGATCCTCATAAAAAATTCTTGAAAAATATAATAACGGTATTCTTTTTAATATAGCAGCTTTATTAAGTATTAACTAATAAGTATATAGGCCTATTTGTAAAATTTCAAATCAATGGTTTATCCTCTGACTTATTGGGAGAGCCATAGATTAAACACTCTCTAACAGATGTTCCTCTTTTGTATCAGCTGACAGCAATTTTAAGGTTAATTATGTCCAGTTTAAAGGTTTTTAATTGTTTCTTGCTACTTTCCAAATTAAAACTATTTAAAAAATCAAGGTATTTGTTTCTCTCTGGTATTATAACCAAATAGTGAAGTAAAAAACGTAAAATCTGCCCTAAAATAAGAGAAAACAGTATATATTAGGAAACTCAGTGTCAGCATCTAACTATATCATCATACATCTAAAGAGGCTTCAGATTCTACAAAAGGATGAGATGTCTACTTGCCCAATAAATCAATGGTTAAACATACTCCTCTATGTATTTATGTTCCTTATGGACCATCTGAAGACAATAAACAATGAGTTTCTATTCGGTATGTGTGGATTGTGTTTTGTTTACATGCACTACTACTACTTTATAGTTAAAATAATAGGGTCTATTGAATACTTCTACCAGCACCACCAATTCTCAAATGTCCCAAACTGACATTTATATCCCTGTTCCAGCTGCCACTGCAATGAGCGGCTGTTCCTGCGGGACCTTGTACTCTGCACCCCTGGCACCTCCGGAGGACGACTGGCTCGCTGGCTACAGCCGGAGTCCCACGTGGACCCGAGCCACAGCCAGCTGGTGTTCCCCAGGGATGATCTCCGGTGTGGTTGGCCGGCAACTCTCACACTCACCACCAGGGACCAGTACGGGGAGGTGGTGCACGCGCCTAACCTCAAGGTGGTGTATTTTATTACTATTACCATTGGCTCTTGAAGACTGAAGTAGACATTCCATCCCATCCATACCTATGTACCAGCTGTAGCGGAACGTCCATTCAATTGGAACATAGTAATCACCCAATCACAGAATGTTCTATTGTCAAAATTGTATTTTCTCCTCAATTCTTGTTACCGTGATAGTTGGTGACATAGAAGATGTAATAATTTACAATAGATCGTCTTTTAAGTTTCTCTTGGTTTGAAATGTGTCGTATTCAATGGGAATCAGTGATTCACATCAGCACACTCTGACAATGGTTCAATTTATGATCATTTTTACCTTAACTGGCTTTTAATTTAACATGGGACTAGCATATCTATTACTCTCCATGGGTAGTCAAAGCTATTACTTGTAAGGTAGCAATGTGCTTAGAAACATGAAATCCATATTGAATCACCCAAATAGTCCTTGACTGTTTTAACTTCTAGTTTTTTATTGTTTATTGAAATTAACATATTATCCTTAATCAATGATATACCCATGAAATTAATAAACGTATCACTACTTTTCTATTTACTCTTTCTCAATTACTCCCATGGCCAATTCATAGCCAAGATGGCTTTTTTGCTTAACCCATCAACTGCTTCTAATCCTTTAAACCTCCATGTTTAAAATTGAAGTGTTTCAGAACTTTTTTAACTATAAATAATTGTTTTGAATTGTAACGAGAGAAATCAATATAGATTTGTCCTTTATTGTGACAGCAGTAAGGTTTATTCATTTTTTCCTGTCCTTAAAGGATTTTTGACAGTTAATGGAATCAAACCAGGCTGTTATTTAGACTGCAGCAGCCCATATGCATACAGATGAATCAGAACTCATTTGTATACAATGGAATCCAACCCTGTTACTGACCGTTGGTGGAACCGTGTGGTTTTACTAACGCACTGGAATTGTTTTACTGCACTGGAATTGTTTTACTGCGAGATTGAATCAAAATTGATAAGGAGCACTTGATTGTTTGAATTGTATTTGTAAATACAGATACATTACAGTAAAGTTGGAAATAAACATTATAATTGATTTTGTCTATGAATAGACTAAGTAAAACTAGAGTTTCTAAACTTTAAAGAATTATCAGTTAAGAAACTCCATCTAGAATATATTTATCAAATAATACAATGTTTTAAAAGACAAAAAAAACACGCTATTTCTTCCTTTAATTATTCATAAACTACCTCTTTAAACTATGCTACTGTGAATTAAAACCATTTCCATGTTAAATTTTCGCAAATTATCAAATCTCACAACCCTGGAAGCCTCTGAAACAATACTCTAAAATTATTCTTAAACACCGCAATGTGTTGGATGAATAAAATTACAGCTTTACTGTCTAAGCTGTAATGCAAACTTACTAAGATGAGCTGTTTCCTTTACCTAGGACCATTTATTAAAATAAAAGCCCAATGATCAAGGAAGCTGGATGCACCTTCAAACAAATAAAATTTGACACTTAACAAAAACAAATCTGTTTTCAGATTGAAGTAAAAGCGGTTCCAATAGACAAAAAGGAGGCAGGAGATGGACGCAAGATGCGACGTGTTAGTCAGCCAGATGAGTTGACGTTTGGTGGACATGCTCAACCATGTCTAGACACGCCTTATGAGGCCACTGTGCGAGATCAGATGTGCTACAACGCAATCACTATGATGAAAGTAAGGACATACAGTATGTGTAAATTTACACTTTGGAGTTTTGTTAACATGCAAGCTCAACTATTACATATCCATTTTTAAGTTGCTCAATCAAACTCATCAGCACACAGACACACCCTACTTCATTTAAGTTATCATATATGTACTCTCACTTTGCTAGGTTTACGAGAACTACTCGTTTGAGGAGCTCCGTTACACTTCTCCAGCCGTCAAGCGCTCTAGCGAGAACATGTTGGTGCGGCCCAATGGAGACGGAACCTACAGCGCTACCTGGACACCAGGGTCTGTTGGCTGGTACTGTGTCAACGCTACTATCGACAGCTACAATATGGAAGAGGTGCTGATAGTTTTGCAGTTTTATTAAAACTTGTGTTCTTACTTTTTATCTAATTACTAAATAATTGTTGGTTTCACTGACGAATCTTGGTCTTTGTTGAACTGGCAGCACTAGTGGCACTACTGGTGTGGAATGTGGTGCAGTAATCCATCTGAGACATTGGCCAGTACCTTAGCCAATAGCAACACCAGAAATATATGATATAAAAAAGATTTTGAAAATATTCTGAAGACTATGACAGTACTTGACCGGCAAGCTTCCCTTCCATTAATAAATGTGGACTTTGGGAGACGACTGGTTGTTGAACTGGCAAAAACACAAGGGAGTATACTGTACAACACGTAGACATTATTTGGGATCTTACTTTCTATCAACTGGAATTTAATAGGGTTTGATTTCATAGTGTTTTTCACTATCCTATTGAAATATTTTCCAGACGCAGAAGGTGGAAGTGAAGGATCCTCCGCAGGGCATCACTCCCCCTACACAGAGCCACACGCCGCGCAAGGCAACACATCAGCCAAGCAGATTGCGCAAGTTTGTGGCGCGCAACAGTGCAGGCCTGCGTGTGCGTGCTCACCCTTCCCTGCAAAGCGAGCAGATAGGAGTGGTGCATGTCAATGGCACTATTGCTTTCATTGATGAGGTAACGTAATTTAAATTTACTATGTTAAATTCTCATAAACTTGATCATTCTTGCTAAACTTTCATTTAAACGTTTTATATCTCTTTTAGTGTATCCCTAGTCTACTCTTTTGACCATCTTGAGTCTACTAAAAGCGCTTGACAAACTCAAGCTGATGGGTCTCCCCAGTGTATTTGACATTCAGGTTATCCGCAGATACACAATGACGATGGTGTCTGGCTGCGTCTCACGCAGGACACTATCAAGCAGTATTGTCAGAGTGGTCACCCGGAGGCTTGGTGTCTGCAGTATAATCAGCACCTTGGCAAGACTCTACTATTGCCTCTGCAGGAACCCAAGAGTGTGCTGAGTCAAGTCAGCAGCAGGACTCCTCAGCAAGAGGCGCCGTGAGTAGATCTGATGTTTAGATTTGATGTGTCACTGTGTAATGTCAATGTCCTTTAACTATTTATGATAAAAGGGGCAGTATGAAGTTGTCCGGATGTGCCTGGGTAGAGCCAACGGCAAGTACGTCCATCGTTAACTACTAAAAAAGAATTAAGTGGCCACTATCAAAATTTTATGAGGTTTATTACTTTTGTCACAACTATATTTACCATGCTTATTTCAAAATTTTCCTCGTTTCTTGGCAGTGGTTGCTTCTCAATCTTTTGGTTTAGTTAACTGACTGTATATCCAAAGACGAGTGACTCATCTAATGAGGCACTCCTGATGAAGGCCTGGGGGAGGATGTCAGGGGGCAAAGTTCCCTACACCTGACCAGAGCTGATCTTTTGTGCCAGATATTTTGTTTTTCAATCCATATGCACAGACAGGTCAATGACCTTCCAATATAGGAGTTGTATTGAAAATCTGATTCACATTCATAATCTGGACTTCAAAGGGTGATATGTTCAAAAATACATATAGAATACCTTCTCCCAGGATTAACCTTTAAGAGTTCTTGGAGGCTAGCGTCCATTTTGGATTATTTAAAACAGCTGCTGAAGAGTAATTTATCGTCCAAAAATATTTTTCAAACACCAAACTTTGAGATTAGAAATGTTCTTTGTAGTTTTGAATTGTTCTCCAAGGGAGTCTATGGTAGCTAACGGCCATCTTGGATTTGCCCACCATAAGAGCAAGGACTCTTAAATACCAACTATATATTATGTAGAAAGATATTTATCCATATAAATTTATCGTGCCCCCATTGTTCTGATTAAAAGATGCTTAACTTTAGCGGAAGGTACTAAGGAGTTTTTGGGCCAAGAAATTTAACAAATAAAGGAATTTAACAAATTTTTTCCCTAAGTTATTCATAACATTTAAAAAATTTTAAAAAATTATTTTTTCAGGAGGAAAGTGCCGGTGGCTACTAGTTATAGAGTGGTCAAATGTGGGGCCTCGGGTCACAATGTGCGTAGTAGTCCTAGCCTCACTGCTCCTCCCATTGGCATGCTTCACTTTGGAAACCACATCACTGTCATCAACCAGGTTAGTTTACTAGGTCGCTCATCACACAACCATGTTGGTTTCATTCTTTGAGTGTGCAGATTTAAATATTTGTAATCGTGATGGCTTGAACAGAATTACCTAGTTCTCCCAAGATAATTAAAATATAGTTTGATTCAATTTGTTATCAAAAACATTACTTTTCAACTTTTTAAGCGCAAATTGATTATTTACGGCTTTGCACATTTTGCAGATGAGCAACAAGGAAGGACTATGGGTCCAGTTGGACAAGGAGACTATCAGCAATTGCTGCTTCAACCTGGAGGAAGAAGCTTGGTCTTTGGCTACTGACAAGAACCAGTTTGTATACCTTCGACCCGACGGACAAGACAAGGGTAAATTTACTAAATGTGTCAGGGATTGGTTTTAAACATTAAACTGTAGTGGTCAAATTTCAATATTCCATGCAGGCTGAAAACTTTTGTTAATATAAAGTGTGGGATCCAAATGCATTATTTAGTTCTAGTTGTTAAATTCATCACATGATGTGAATGAGCAGACATCTTCACAAAAACATTGTAAATATTCTAACAAAGAGGAGGAATTGTAGATAGAGAAACGGAAATGGAACGGGGAAGAGCTAGGTGGGTTTGGAAACATTTATGTGGTCTGCTATTAGTGTGATATTTTGTTCGATTGATCCCTAGGACTGGTGGAAAATGTTCAAGGGTTTAAATAGTTCTTGGTACCTGAGAGGGGGGCATAGGAAGGTCCATTTAAGGTTTGTTGCATCTTAGTTCAAAGGCTTTATCAATCTTAAGTACTATGGGGTTAATTTTTTCTCTCAGGGTTGACTACTCTCTAGTACTTGGAACTGGATTTTTGCAGCGGGATTTGTGAAATATCGATTTCCCGAGGTTTCACCTTGTTTCATGGCTGTGGATAACCCTAGTACCTGTCATTGATTTTTGTATCAAGGGTTTGATTAATAAGTCTGTGGGTTTATGCTCAAGAGACCTAATGATCACCAGTAAAACTGGATTCATTCTGCTAAAGAATTTGAATGATCCTTAGTACCTAGGCATGATTTTTGCTCTAGGGTTTTATTAATCCCTAGTTCTCTAGTATCTTTTGTGGGTTGAATGGAAAATAAATTTCAACCTTTAAAATAAACATTAGATTTTTAATCATACTTGGCTGCAACTTTCAATACTCTGAACATACACCACGTTTCTTCATCATCCTCTTAATGAATTATCTGGATTACTAGAGAAAGACAAGTTAAAGTTAATAAATTTTCAAAGGGATCATTACATTCAAACCAATAATTTTGTCCTTATTCATTATTGCTTGGGTGAATGTGTAATGTACACAAATCAAACTTCACTTTCAAATCCAAGTTCTTTTTTAGTTTTTAATCATATCATCATGTGTCTCGATAGAACCTGAGGCAGGTCCAAGTGGTCGGGGAGCTGTGGATGTATTCAGTCCCTCACTGCCTCGGTCTACACAGCGAGGCTTTGACTTCGCCGGCCCTGAGAGCCCCGCTGTGCTGTTCCCCGCTTTCTCCACTCCCCCCGCTGTTCCTACAACCACAAACCCCTTCGTGTTTGGTTCCTCCTTACCAGGTGTGTACCCTACTGAATGTAACTTTTTTCATTGACCTATATTTGACTCAAAAGTTAATTTTTTATAAATTAAATTATTTAGTGTAAAGGAATTTTAAGGGTTTTAAAATTTAGAGGGATAGAAAATTGGATTTTGGCTTAAATCTTTCCTTTAACATCTCAGATTTTTTCCCTATATAAATAACATTAGGATAACCCTTACCTATGTTTGCCGCTACAGGGAAGGTAACTAAGTGTCTTTTTTAGTCAACTGGTTATACATAAAATATAATCAAAAATGTATGTTACTACTTTTATTTTACAGCATCAGCCCAAAAAGATGATGTTAAACCTCCATCTAAAGATCCATTCAAGTTATCATCGAGCTTGAAGTGGTTCAAGTCTGGCGATGAGCCAAAACCTCCAATACCAAAAGTTTCTTCAGCAAGGTAAATATTTCTTAATCCCCGTTAATCAACAGGATTAATAAAAGTAAAAGTAGATTTACCTTTACCATCATCAAAAAAGTTCTATTTGATTTTATTTTTCATCAGGATTTAATTAGGATATGTAGATATCTCAATAGTCTACAGATAATCAACAGACCTAAATTATATGTCATGTCTACTACAGAATTTATTTAGATACATTCATCGTGATGGTTAACACAACTTTTTCATAATCTTTCATTCTGGCATTCATGATTTTATCACAAACAATATGATGTTTCAGCAAAGACATGCCACCAGAGCTAGTTGGTGTCTCTGTCAAAGAGCTAGTCAAGGCTATTGGAGAAAGCCGAGCCAACGGCAACGGTTCCACGCCTCCTGACACACCACGTCGCTTGTCTCGTAGTTCATCTCCGCTGGTATCGCGTCACTCCGACAGTCGTAGTTCTAGTCCAGTACCCATACCTGGTGAGTTACATTACCTAACCTAACCTATCTGAACCCAACATAACCTAACAAATTATTTGTGTTTCACAAAGTATGTACAGTCATCCTAAATGTAATGCACAACAATTATATGAAGGTTTTGTTGAGAAGGCTTTAAAAAGTCCCATCATATTCAACACACAGGATTATCTTAAAAAATAATTAGTAAGAAAATGGATCCGTCAAACATGAAATATGAAACTAGAATTAAATATACTCGTATCTGTTAGTGGCACTAAATTACAATCGCAAATTAGCAATACGGCCTTTTTGATCAGTCGCAAGATAGTAAGCAATGCACGTGCTATAAATGTTATTTGTTTCGTGTAACATTGTAACACATACTGTTTGCAAATTTCACGTAAATTCATTGACATAATACAAATGAAGTTTTTAATTGGATTATGGACAGTTTAATGTACTAAATAAAAATAACCCAATAATGGTGATCTTTAAAATGACTGCAGTGCTAACCTCATTAATCAACAATTTCAGTTCAATGTAAAAATGTATATTTTTCACTATGATTGATGTCTGCAATCTGCCTCACAATTAATTCATATTTCAATCATTATAATAATTTTTAAAAATATATTAAATGACCGAATTGATGAAAATTTGTTTCAGGCTAAATATGTTTTTGTGGCGTAATTTTATCTAATAATCATTTTATGACAAAACGTAAACAGATTGTGACTAGGATTTCTTTTTGGTCAGTTAACCAAACCATAACGTTTATGAATGGTTTAACATTTTTAGAAATCCAAGATGTTACAAGCAAGTTTTATTGTGTGATGTAAGTTATTTAGCAAATAGTGACGTATTCTATATCTCATGAACAAACAATAAGGTATTGCATGTTTATATTTTACAAAATTCATTTTTTAAGTTAATTTACAGAATCTAACTTCAGAAGAAAGTTATCTCTAGAATCTTGCTGTGTATTATTTTATTAAAAAATAACATTTTCTTAGCTTTACCCGGCAAGCATAGGACCCAAGGTAAAAATGCCCCTTTGCTTGTAATCCCTGTAAAATCCCTTGTAAAACTTCTAAATTGCCATTAGTTTTTAGGTAAAAACTTTCTTCATCTGCTTTTTAACTTGACCTCTCTATAGTTTTGTGTGCCCTTGAATGAATTTTGGTTTGTATTTTTCAATTTTTCCCATTATATTTAGAAATCCCATAAATCACCCAGTTTTGGGATACTAGTTTGACATTGCATGTCATCATTTCTGAAATACACCAGTGAATGTCTATAAACAGTAAATAAATATCTTATAGATGGTTTCCATCCCACTCAAAATCATCTAATTTGAATGCCTGATGTTGGATGCCCGTAGCTATTTTTTGTAGTATTTTTCTCAACAACGTTGTCTGTTGCCATCAGGTCTTTTTGACTTCCAAAGCAAAAACTAGCAATAGTTTTGGGAAGCTATTTTACTCCCAAAAATTGTAAAAGAAGGATTTAAATGTATACAGGTAGCCAGCTAAACACAATTATTTTTCAATGAATGTGGCATACTCTAGTTTGAACTTCTGAACCAAAATAAGACTTGTTATCAATTATGTTGTGCTGTAAAACATCTTCAGGAAAAAATATACTTTTGCTTTCAATTAGTTACAATTGCATTGGGGTTTTATATATTTTGCATGTTTATTTTACTTGAAATATTTTACATGAAACTCCCCATTTCCCTAAAATCTTTCTCTTTATTATAATTACTTTTAAGAAGCTGTGCGGCTTTTGTGTATTTTTAGGATTAATATAATATGCATACAAGGTGAGTGTAAAATGGAATGTGATCTGTTACTGATTAGCAATTTTTTTTATCAGGACTAATTTATTATTACAATCCCAATCATTTCCATGTTGGGATTGTACTAATAAATTGGTCAATAAATTGGTTGTAAGTAAAAAGCTGTCTTCCGACAGCTGAACTCAGTTTCGAACAGTAAAAAAGCTTCTGACTGTTCAGCTGATGATCTTCTGTCTGTTAGACCGGCATTATAACCACTCAGCAACCCTAGTTTTATTCCAGAAACACAACTGGTATCGTGAACACCCAACTTTTAGGAGGAGGAGCACAAATATAATTTCTTTGACTATAGATGAATTAGTTGACGACCACATTGAAGAGCTTTTCTATGAAAGACAGATAGCAGACAGATATAGTTGCTAGTAGCTAGTTGGCAATGTAGGTTAATTTTAAAAAAATAATAAAGAATTTGTGATCCGGTAGGGTACAAACCTCTCCCTTCGATAGCGGCCTAATAGATTGAAGATTACTAATTTTTAACCCATAATCACCTAGACAAGAGTATGAAGAGAGTGTGTACGAGAAATTTCCACACCAGCCACCATCTCTATAATCTATAATCTATAATCATGTGTGCAATATCGGTATTTTGATTAGGGGTTAGGATAAAAAAATCACACAATATCAATATCTTAAATACTTCAATACTTAAATACTTTTCATTGAAATGGCGACCATACGAAGTAGGTATTTAAAGCCAAGTATGAATGGAGATGAGTTTCTGAAATTACGATATGACTGAAATAGGTCTGTAGTTGTTTTGTTCCTATTATCGCCATCTAACGGCACCGCACAGCGGTTAACCCACGCGGGTGAAACTAAGCTGCAATTTCGCAAGAGTCTCTTGCAAACTATGACAAGTGATGAACAGTTTTTCTAAATATTTCTAAAATTGAGATATGACTGAAATAGGTCTACTTTTAACACTTTAGTGAAATGGCGACCATACAAAATAGATATTTTAAGCCAAGTATGAATGGAGATGAGTGTAGGATGAGTGGCGCGATCTTGTAATCTTGTTAATGAATAAGGCCAACATATTCCTTAGACACAGCTGTTAATTAATAGTCCATACAGTTAATGGCAACTAAGGTACCTATAGTGGAATCCAAACAAAATTTTTGCCTTGGTTTTAACGAATTGGTCTAATGATCAGGATAGTACTGCGGATAGTCGTAGCACCCACTAGTGCGGACCTTAATCTACACCATTGGTCTAATGATCAGGATAGTACTGCGGATAGTCTTAGTACTCGCTAGTGCGGACATTAATCCACACCAGGGAGTATTGCATATATAGTGCATGCCTAAATATCCACAATTCGTGACCACCTAGTAGCTGGATTACAGGAAGGCGCCACCATCCCACTCCCAATTTTTAAGAGTGCATAGATCTTTTAAAATAATTTAAAAACAAAACTCCCTTGGTTTATATTCTAATATAAGCTTTTCAACCCCTTGTTGAGTCTGACCCTTGTCTCAGGAGGACGTCCCCTAGGTGGGGTGTTCCTAGACAGCTGCAGCAGTAGTCCTCAAGCACCTGGATCTCCCAGGAGTATTGGAATTTCACCTCTAGGTACGCCAAGGTGTTTGCGTGCTTTCCCATTCTAGCTGTTTTGTTGTTGTTATTTTTCCATGGCTTTTGTTGATTTTTTTGTTTTGATAGGAACTAGCTGCGTAAACTTATTGTTATATTTTATTTCTAAGTATCTTTTTTCTGGCTTGATTTTGTATTAAAAGTGGATAGAATTTTAATCATTTGATGTATTGTTTGTATTTATTGATTTTTTGTATGCAATTAAATTTCTACTCAATGATTTGTATGGTTTCCTTCATTTTTATAAGCTTTTGTTTTTTTACCTTTTTTATTAATTATTTAATTGTTGTATTAATGCTGTTTTTTGTGTGTATTATTAAAAATTATTGGTTATGCATCCTGTTGTAAATATAGCTACAATAATAATATTTAAAGTTATCATATTTTTTTGTTATATGAATCACCTAAGCTAAGATAATAAACTGCAAGTGTGGCTAACTTGGTCTCGTTATTGTTGATTTTGTCTAATATCACCCAAGTTGGACGAAATGATAGATCAAGATGGAAGAAACAACAAAGCAAGATGCATGGATCAACATACCTAGATATATGAAACAACAGATCAAGAGGAATGAAGTAACAGGGGAAATTTAATTGGATGAAAAAAGGCAATATTGAAATAAATTAACAGGCCAGATGAGATCAAACAACAGACCAAGATGGGTCAAACAACAGATAAAAAAATGGGTGAAAAACAGACTTAGTTTCCCCCGAAGAATTGCATATACGATCAAATAACTGATGGATTTGGGAGGAACTTAAACTATGATGTTTTAAAAACTATTATGTCACAGTGTCAGGTGGGATGCACGACAGCACGTCTCACAGACGAGGATCGACTCAGAGTGACACGAGTGCGCTGGTGAGCAGCCTCACCCGAGACCTCACTCCCAGTCCGAGCGGCAGCGCGACATCGCTACACAGCGGCAAGAGTGTCAACATGGCCGACGTGCAGCGAAAAACTCAGGTAATGTTTGATGGAGGTAAAACTCAGGTGATGGAGAGAATAATTATTGTCAGATTAAGTTAGGAAACTATTTGGCTGGGCTCTTACTGAATTAATTAGAACAATTATGTGACCGCCTTGTGCAACTTTAAAGAAGACTATTTCAGCATTCAATTAAATGTTTATGAAATTTCCTTGTCTCTTTAAGGGTAGACACCCAGCATGGGAGACTCTTTTGATTATGTTTTTAGAATTAGGGGAAACTATTGTGGACTAATAGAGCAGACAAAATTAAACATATCGTTCGCTCCTTAAGTAGTATTTACATCTTTATAATGCAGTATTTTATTTATATCAGTGTTACTTGTAACACATCCAAAAAGGTTTGGTTATGGATACAGATAAAATCAATTTAAAATATATGCATGCAAATAAATTAAATTAATAAAACATCAGTGACTGTCTGTATTTTTGCAATTTACTTATTTTTTTATGATATATCCAGCATTATTGTTCCGTTGCTCACCCTCCACAACAAAAAACAGTGATTTGAATGATTTTGTTGAACATCCTATCACTAAATAAACTTTTACCTTCAGGAAAGTGACTCGAGCTCCAAATCGATGGCTGTAGCAGGCACACAGACTTCCCCAGAAGCAGTGAAAGGTCACTTCGTCATCGGCGCAGGTGGTTCGCGTGACGAAGCGAGGCTGTCGCCCAAACCCGGCCGCAAGGAGCGACAAGGACGTAGTGCCAAGAGGGCGATGTCCCCCTCCCCAGCACCTCCCCCTACTGCACGGCCCTCACAGCGAGAGACCAGGTGGGTTAACAATAGAATTGTTAACAACAAAAGTATTTGGTGTCTGTGTCTACTTTTAATTGCCTATTTACTACAACAGTTTTTCATCACAACATTCAATTGACACTTCACTATTTGCAGAGAGCCAGTAAAAGAGGCCATGAGCCCATCTGTGGCAGAAAGTCTACGTGCAACGTTTGCTGCGTTCCTGTGGCACGAAGGCATCGTGCACGACGCAATGGCTTGTGCTTCATTCCTCAAGTTTCATCCGACACTGCCCAAGCAAGGAGCTATGGTGGTCACCCGCCATTCTGACAGGTGAGGTTGATGTTATTGATGGTGAATAAGTCAGAAGTGGTTAAAGAGAAAGAATATTGTTAAAAACAATGTTAAAATAAAACAAAAATGGATTATGCAAGAAGATTGTTTAAAAGAAGAGCATAGCAAACAACCAACTTGACATAATCCCTGTGGCTCCTTAATGAAGCATAGGGACTTGACAAAACAGAACACTGCCGTAAAACTCTGTTTCTAGCTCAAATCCATTCTCTCCAACTAATTTCTCTTCCCTTATCTACTTGTATAAAGTCCTTCATAAGATTTGCTTTTCCTTCCTCTCCTTTTTTGTGCCTGAGGGTTCCAATTCCACTGAGGCTTTCTATGGTGACCTGCTCTTTTAACAGAGTATGGCTAACCTATCCTTTCTTCTTTCATTTGCCGTTCTATAAGCTCTTTACTAGTAGTAAACCTTACAAAGGAACTAAAATCTCGCAATGTGTTTGAACTGTAGTAAGAAATACTTACATGTTTAGTTTAATTGACGGCTTCCGCTAATCCTGTAAACTTGTACCAGAAACAAGCCGACAGTTCAGCGTCATTCTGTAGAGGTGAGCACAGCTGGCAGCTACCTCCACATCAAACCCTCCACCCTTGAGACATTGGCTAGGTCAGCAGCCAATGCCAATGCTAACAGACACCGCAGCAAGAAGAGTTCTGCATCCCCTCGCATCATACAGGAGGAGGTGCCTCAGGTCAGAAATGTACCTTCTAGAGTGTTTTTGCAGACCCTTTGATCAAATTACACCAAGAACTCAAAATAACAGTATAATCCCACAATCTCAAAATCTTGTGGATTGGAAGAGTGCTGAGTAAAAGTTCTGTGACATATTGTAAAACATTTTCCTGTTATTTCTCATGTATAGGTATTACATTTACAACACCATAACATTGAAATACCTCAATTTAACATAAAAATACATGACTTGTTTTTATTCATAAACTATGTGCTAACTGGCTGTAAGGCACTTGGCAGGCACTCCGGTTGTCAATTGTGTGTCCCCACTGTGTAACCATGAAGCTACAGAGTTCTGTAGTTCACCACCAGGGTTGAAATTTACTTCAGTATGGGGTATATGAAATTTATGTAAATATTTGTTATGAGTTGCCCAAGAAATCTGGACTATATTATTTTCCCTTGCTTTAGGCTTCCCTTGTTTTAATTACTTGTTCGTAAAAAGTAAATTTCAGTCCAATGTAATCGCCTGGTTCAGTTCTAGAAGGTCCACAATAGTCAAGATAGTTGACCAACTGAATGACCTGATTTTGATCCACCAACTTAAATTCAGCTTTGCAATATTTGAATATTTTGTTACTTAGGAAGATTTCCTTTCTAGGCTTCCATAATAGAAGAGGCTATCAAGAAGGAGCCAAAAGAGGCCGAGCTCCAAACTGTCACAGTGTTACCACCTGCACTGCGTTGTTTGGTATTTCTGTGGGAAGAACTCACCACCAGCTGCTTACAGGTATACCAACATATAAATAAATTACAGATGACTCTCAAAAATCTGAATTTTGCAAATCTGTGAGAGTGTTGAATTACCAAAAATAATAATAAAGTCAAGTAATATCACTAGGAATCAAACTGGACACTGCTACTGATTAGGCGTGCAATTCTTGTCACAAAACAAATTAAAATGTAGTAGTATTGTACAGATATCTCATATAGGTCAAAAACTCATCAATTTAACTGTCAGATTTGGATTATTGAATTTTAGGGGCTATCAATGCTTACGTTATCCATAGTCAACATCTAGTCTGCATGTTTTGTTTGTATAACTTGAATTAACACACTTTTCAAGTACTGTTTTGTACAACTTTGTATGATATGTCAATCTGTAATTCAGGCGTTTGCCTCAAATGCTTGCCTGCCGAGCCCATCCCAGCCAATGAGCACGTCGATGTTGAAGAGTGTCACAGGGGGAGGAGAGACGAAACTGAAATCTCGCAAGAAGAAGGAATGGAAACCTGCTGGGTCTGCAGACATTGCTGGTGAGGATCTCTTTTGTTTAGTGTCTTTGGAAATTGTTCAGATTTGATTGAAATTAATTTACTATGAAGCTGACACACCAAACGTGTTTAGCTTAAGGCTGAGTTTAGTAAAAGCTAAGTACCAGTAGGAAATAGATAAAATAATTTAGGCTACTGCTTTTTTTCTGTTAAAACCCCTAATGTTGAGCTCAGTTAATTTATTTAAATTCAATTTGTATAAAAATGACATATGGATTAAACAAAATTAGATAACTTGTTGTCCTCCATCACAAAATAAAAATTTTGTCCAGAAATATTATCGATAAATCATCAACCAGCGGTTCAATTATGTCATTTAGTTTATAATAAAGAGGAAGCCCCCCCCCCCAAAAAAAATGTTTTGTTATGTTCCTTAAAAATAATGTTTGTTAAATTTGGTTTGTAATACAAATATTTAATACCTAAATCAAAAGTTGAATAAAAGCTCTTTGAGGTTTACTTTTTTTGCGTTAGTAAATTTATGTTAGTTGAGACATTATTGTACAGTTTTTCATCATAATTATTAGTAAACAACAAGTTTTCACATCATTTTGTGATATGGATTCCATCACAAAATATTAGGACCAAACCCTTTATTTGTACTTATTGTTGTTTTCTTTAAGGAATTTTTTTCTTTTGACTAACAAACAGTTCTTTGTGATTTTTTCATTTTAACTGGGTTTATGTTTTAATCTTTGTTATGCTTTTGGTTCTTTCTCACCTAAGGGCAGGATCAGAATCATCCGACTTGTGAAAGCTTGTTTTTTACTAATCAAGATCAATGTTCGCTATAATCCATTAAATAAAGTGATGTCCTCCATCACAAAAAAACAATTTGGTTTAAGGTTGTTCTGTGACCAATAATAACAAGTTCAATTTTGACCAGGTTCATCAGATAGAGGCAGCACCATACACAAAGCTCCGTGTGAACTGTGTGGAGGCATCTACCCCCAGCCCATCACTTATCACATGAGACAGGTAAACAAACCATTTGAAATAATAATATTGTAAACAACATAAATAGGGTGTCAAGTAAACTTTTTAGGTACTTTACTCCTGTGGCCATTGGAAACCAAGGTGGTCTTTGTCCTCGCCAACCATGTTCCCCCCGGATCTTCTGCCCTCTGCCAGCTTCTCTCCCAGATCTGCTCCCTTACTCCTTAGGTCCTTTGTAACTTCATCAATCCATCTCATCCTTGGCCTTCTTGTTACTTTGTGAATGATTTTCTAAGGATCTGATAATTTTGCCTAATTTTACCTTACTTAAATCTCATATTTACCTCCAAAGGCCCACCCTGGCTGCGGAGCGCACGCAGGAGGTAAGGGCTACAACTCTCGAGGTAACTTCTGCGTAGGCTGGGCAGGTAACTGCGGTGACGGAGGGGTGGGGGGAAGCTCCTGGTACCTTGTGTGTGAGGCGTGTCGAGACAAGTACCTGCAGGCTAAGAAACAGCAGACAGCCAAGAAGACCACCCGGAAGAAGACAACCATCATCGCACCAGCTGTGGCCAAAGTCAGCTCGCCTGCCTCAGAAATACCTGGTGAGTGAAATTGTATATGTTGACATTATTTTTGTGTTTGTTTTCAAACCAGTGGTATTTTTTTTTTTTTTTTTGTACGGCAATGGTCCAAACCCTGTTCTCACTAATGTTGATTTTTTGTTAGGGAAGTCTACCCCAGTGAAAAATGGCATCAAGGTTCAAAATCTTATTGTGATAATAAATACCGGTTTCCTCTAAGACATTAAAGGGAGACTTCGAGGTTTGCAATAGCATATGATTAGGGGTATAATACAAAATCAAGGGTTTTTGAAAACGACCCTTGTTATCAAGGGTGACTTGCTGTTGAAGGTCTTGTTATTGGGGTTCCACTGTATATCTCCATTAACACTTATTTCATCTGAGAGAAAAGTATTTGAATATTGACTTTTTTATTAAACTATAAACCTTCTATTATTCTCACAGCTCTATCATCCAGCCAGTGCAGTTTGGAGACACATATTGTGATGAAGAACAATGCGATGTTTCTGTTGGAACTGAGCTCTGGAACGTCTTCGCAGACTCTAAATCCGAGTCCTCCAGACTCCGGAAGCCCCTTCCCCCATCCTGGACCCCTGCTGTGTCTGCACGCTCTGGGAGCTCACCCCGGGACTCTGGACGACCATGGACACTTCCCTCAGGAGGTGATTGTGGGGAGAGGCGGCCGGAGAGATGTCGACCCCACGGCCACTTACTCTGTGAGTGTTTTAACACATATAATATTGCAGCAATGTTGAGTTTCCTTAACACTGTTAGCTTTAACAGTCAAAATCTTGTATTACTTACTATAAAATGGCAACTCTTCTTAGATAGTATCTGTTTAGTTGATAACAAAATGACTGACATCTAGAATCAATCCCACAGATCAAACATCCTTTAAACATTTTAGGATCCTTACTATCTATGGTTTGTATGTTCTTGAATGTATTATGTTTGTAAAAAACAAAAATTTCAATCCACCAATTAAAGAAAACAATCATAACTGCAATACACGTAACAAAAATAACTTTGTAATTGGAAAACATAAATTAGAGCTATTAAAAAAAAGACTATCAATGCAGTTCATGAATTTTTAAAATTTATTCCTTTGGAAATTAAAACAGAACAAAAACCCAACTTTAAAAAAAAACGTCTCAAGGAATATTTAACGGACCTGTCCTTATACTCTTTAGATGAATTTAAAATGGCTTTATCATATAGTTTTACACATTAGTTTTAATTAATTTTACACTATTCATGTACAACCATGTATAATATGAATAAAGATTCTTGACTATGACTATGACTATGGAAAAATTAAATCAACAAGGGATTAAACCAGCAACCTCCAAATTTGAATGCACTATTTTTTTTTAAAGATAGTGTATCTTAGACACTCCAATAAGCTATCATCAGGCTAAGAAATCCATATAATGATACTGTAGAATAAGTATTGAACCAATGGTCATAGGCACTAAAAATCAGCCATGATTAAAGATACTTTAAAGTGTGTTTTTTTTGTGATTTTGAGTTTAAGCTATTTTAGATAAGACTAGTTAGGAACATTTTCCTTAACAAAATAGTAACAGAAACAAGTCCTCAAAATTTCAAATTCTTGAGAAAATTTAGTGACCTTAGCAAAACTCAATGATATGAGTAGTGTTTTACTAGGGGTGAGAAAATAACTAAATTTTTCAGAACTCGGAATTCTTTATTAGCCAGAATAAAGAGGCTCAGGGTGTTAGAATTAAAAGTAAGCATCGTGTAGAAGAGGTCATAAACAGCTGATGTCCTGTTGCCAGCTGGTGTCAGACACGGTGACCAGCGACAGTGACAGTGACAGCAGCAAGGGTCGGCTGTTCCATCGCTCCGTCTCCATGGGAACCAATGGAGCTCCATGGAGCCACAAGGAAGGCGATAATCGAGTTATCATGATGCGTAAACGCAACAACAGCACCTGTGACGTTGGTAACGGTAATGCTACTTTGATTACAACATAATATCTGCACTTGTATTCAAGCATAACCTTTAATTACCAACCTAACCTTAACCCTTGATTTACAAATTCAATAACTTCAAATAAATATTTCCTAAAACCCTTTAATGTGAGTTCACATTGCGATTGCACACCTTGAAATAACTTATGAGCTTTCCTAACTTAGTTAGAGCTTTAGAAATACTCTTTACTACTGATCTTTTATCTATAACGACCAGCTGTAGCCAAATTTATAATCAAATATAAGGAACGTAATTAAATGAACTACTCACAAAGTGTGCTGAGTCATAATTCATTTTTCACCTTCAATTTTTGCTACTAAAACTGCTTTAGTTTATAACTATAGTTATCCTTTCAGTTTGACTTTGTTAAAAATTTGTTTCTATTTGACACAAAAACTGTAGGTAATCGATGTTAGCATACTCTGGCAGTATAGCGGAATTTAATTACAGTAACTTAATTTTCATTCAAATTCTGGTTACAGCAATAATGTGAGAATTGAATGTACTTCTATCATTACTCAAATGTATAATTCAAATTTTAAACAACCTATTCCCCATGCAGAGCCTGTGTCCTCGCTACTGTGCCACCCGTCGGCCGCCCTACAGAAGCTGGTCCCGTCACTGTCCCAATCTGCGATCGTGGGTCAGGCCGGAGACAGGCTGGGTCAGAGCTTGGACATCATGGGACGTCCTGTGCTGCAGTTCCTGCTTCAGCAACACAACCTGCATTGCCTCCAGGCAGCCATGAAGAGAGCTCTGCATAAAGCCACTTGTCGGGTGTACGCCATGCAGGTAAGAAATAGGAAAGTAGGTTTTTACGGTACAATGAAAGCCTTGCTACGGGTAAAAACTTCTTTTAGATTAGCTGATAGTTTTAGAGATTCAGATTAGTAATGATGGTTGTGGTAGGATATCTAACTACAAAGCTGGTTACAGGCTCTCAACTGGCTGCTGAGGAGTGTAACGCAGACGACCTGTATCCACGACCTGTTGTGGTGGTTTGTGGCAGCTCTGACCCCAGCACCTCCTGAGGCTGAACCTCCATTGGCAGCCAAGGATGAGGCTGCAGAACCAAAAACTGACAAGAAGGAGGATCAGGTAACTTTATATGTTTGAAGAATATATACATAAATTTCATAGAGGTTTTAAGAATACTTGTGTGTTGCCTTTTTACTTAATTTACTTGGTTAAGTCCTTCAAACTTGGTACTAGATACTGTAATGCATAAGTCTGGATGTATTGGTGAACCTTAAAAATTTACCCATATTGTCATATGACCAAAACTAGTGGTAAACTCCACAACTCGTTTGCTTCAATATTTACTCATTACATTGCCTGTTGCCATTTGGATTAAGCGCTACTTGCAGCCATTGAGAATAGAACTTGTGAGTCTCACATACCTGACAGAGTGTTAACTACTAGTTGACGTGCTAACGCGCTAGTTGGCTGTTGATAGAACAAAGATATAACTAGACATTCCATCGCCATTATTAAATTGTTGCTAGTTTTGAAATCGAAATGAACATAGTTAAACGAAGCTTACAATGGATTGCGCTGATGTAAATTGCTGATTTTATTCAATATGCCAACTTCTTATTTTATCCAAGCCAAACTAAAGGCACATCTCATTGTTAGATCTTTTATGTCACATCAACTATTAAAACTTAAGGGAGAAAATAGAATTTTGACTGTAGAAAACTCTGTGAGTGGTTCATTCATCCATTTTATTTTATTTTTAAATTGGCTACAGCTTGTCCTGGTAAGTGAAAATGGGATGTCTTCTTCAGTATCCAAACTTCAATCATAACGTCTTGGCTGGGAAGAGGGGAAGGGGAAAACTCTAGGGTTAGGTTTATTATGCATCGCTTATGTGAGTGATTATTTCACGTGTTGACATTGTAAAAATCTGATCTAATCTATAATTTCCCTGATAGGACGTGGCTGCAGTCTGTGAACATCCTCTCAGTGACCTGAGCTTGGCTGGGGAGAGTGTCCAGCCTTTAGCTTCTACATTCCACACTCTGCTACAAACTATAGCTGACCTGATGCTGCTGCTACCGATGGGCTCAGCACTACAACAAATGGCCGTCAGGTGTTGGGGGATACGATTCACTCAGTCTGACCACATGTTTCTTCACAGGTTGGTAAACTTGATGGTGTTTGGATGTAACAAATTTTAAACCTAAAGGTAGTAACATTGTTGAAAGAGTTTTTAGGAGACAACATAAATATTCTAAAACGTATAAAACGTTTGCATATTCCTAGGTATTGCGCTTACTTAAGTTGATGATGCCAAATTTCTATTTAAAAAGTCAACCTATTAATTTCCTATTCCTTTCCTTTAGCTATTTCTGAGCATGGAGTTTGTTAACTGTCAACTTGTTTGTCATTGCAGGAGCCACGTGTTCAGCAACATCAGTAAGATCCTGTCCAGGTCTGAGGAAGAACAAGATGACACCAGTCTAAGTCTGCAGGAGAGTCACCTGTCTACCTACTCACAGGTTGACAGAGTTTAGACATCCTCTATTTTGACCCTATCTACATTTGAGATATATTTAGATTTTCTACATGACTAGACTAAGGACCAGTGTTGGGGAAACTACTTTTAAAATGTAGCTAGCTACAACTACTGCTACATTTCCTAAAAAGTAGCTTAGCTACAGCTACAGCTACAGTTCCGAAAAAGTAGCTAGCTACAACTACAGCTACAATGAAATGTAGTTAAAGCTACAATTTTAGCTACTTTTCCAAAGACGTTACTTTTTATTCCACGCACATTAGGTAAATGTAAAATTAATTTCAACTTCATTTTTATTGAACAAACATCTAAACAAAAAATGTCACATTAACTAACATTACTTGGAAAACAAATTATTCCTAGAGTGTATTTAATTTGTTGGCATTATAAACCGAACATTACAACAACAGAAACAAATAGTTGGGTGTCCCATCATATTAAGTACCTACTTATTTTTAAATAACTTATTGCATTATTTAAGGGTGTAGCATAGAGCACAAGGGCCTAGATTTTTTAGGATTTTTTGAGAGGATAGCAGGCTTACCTGAATGGGAAAGAGTCCAAACTGGCACAGGAAACACAAAACATAACTTTACACTATATAAGTTCAGGCCACATGTATTTAGGGGAGCTAGACAAAGGTGGTTTGGAGGTTAGGCCTAGAGGGGCTAGGCCTAGATTAAGGCAAGCTTCCAGAAATAAAACATGTGTATTGACTTTGGCCAAATGAAAGGCATCATCCTTCATTTGTTTAATCCAAGATTTGGCAAGAAACATTGTGAAAAGGAATAGGAAAGATGGATAGATAAAAAGGAACACAATAAGGAAGAGAGAAAATGAGTGTTGTTTCAGTTTGAGGTTAAGGGTGTAGCATAGAGCACAAGGGCCTAGATTTTTTAGGATTGCCTTTCAAATGAAGGATGATGCCTTTCATTTGGCCAAAGTCAATACACATGTTTTATTTCTGGAAGCTTGCCTTAATCTAGGCCTAGCCCCTCTAGGCCTAACCTCCAAACCACCTTTGTCTAGCTCCCCTAAATACATGTGGCCTGAACTTATATAGTGTAAAGTTATGTTTTGTGTTTCCTGTGCCAGTTTGGACTCTTTCCCATTCAGGTAAACCTGCTATCCTCTCAAAAAATCCTAAAAAATTTATTGCATTATTTTTAAGCAACTTATGTAAATTTCATTAAGTTCAAAGGACATACAACCAAACTATATTTTAAAAGCTCATTTTATTTCTTAAATATAGATTCATTTATAGATGTCTTATATCAACAATTAAGACCAATAAAACTGTAAAACGATTATTTAAAAATATTTTTTTGTGTTACAGAGCCTAGCCTACTGAAATTGGAGTTTATTGCCGTTCTTTTATTTTAATGTTAAAAACGACATTGCTATAACTTTTAACCATAGTGATAAGTTACTTGTTCTATGAATAACACTTTTCAATGTCAAGAAATCGTCCTTTATTTTGCATTTATTATGCATAGGGCAAATAATTGTGCTTCAACCTAGTTGGTACAGAAAACAGTATTCAGCAACTTATACTGAAATCGGCTTTTAATTTAAACATGTTGAAATTTTGTAAAGTAACAAATTTGAAAATAACATGTAGGCCTACTTGGCTATGTAACAAGTTGGCTATAGTAGGCTTGTTCTTGCAAGGACTAAACAGATATATTCATAATAATTGAACTTGGAACTTGGCATTCTTCTTAAACCATAGCATAGCCTAGGAATAGTCCTATACAAGAGCTGTTATCAGGAGCAAACTATGCTATTTTTTCAATGTAAGTTTCATGTTATATGGGGATTTTTTCGTTACAATTATCATGTTGTCTAGGCATATCTTAAATCTCAAGTAATTTCCTCTCTGTTAATTTAGTAAACCTTTGAACAATCTTCGTAATCTAACCAAGGAAGGGCTTGTGGTGATGAACCAATATCAACAGCAAAGGTTGATAGACCAGCTTTCTCATTATTTTAAGGTTTAGTGTTGGTTTTTGGTTTCCATTAAAACCCAAGTTGAAATACTGTCGATGTAATAAAGAAACTAAATTGACTACTAATTTCCCTGTCAATCACTTGCAAGCATTCAATAGCTTCTCTTGTCACCGGTAACGTTTTAACGTCGTCTGCATCTAGTGATTTTATTTTATCTGACAGTAATCATAGAGTAGGTAGTAAATTAAGGAAATGAGCCAAAAATGTGGATAACACTCATTTAATGGCCTCCATGTCCACATAACGTTGTAATAGGGAATGAAATGGCTGCAACCAGCTGTATGAAGCCAAGAAAGTAGGCCTTATTTTTTTTTTAAATCTCAGTTTGAAAGAGGTTGTTTCACGTAAGGTTGAGGTTATGATAAAAATCACTATCTCAAACAATGTTAATGTAGCGAGAAAAGTAGCTAAAATTCCGCTACAACTACTTTAAAAATGTAGCTAGCTACAGCTAAAGCTACAAAATCTTAAAAGTAGCGTAGCTACAGCTATCGCTACAAAAAAAGTAGCGCGCTACTGTAGCGTCGCTACTTGTAGCGCGCTACTTCCCAACACTGCTAAGGACTAGTACTAAATTATGTTACCGTACTGTTTTTGTGTCTAGTTTCACCATACAAGTTTCTTTTGTGTGAGAAATAGTAACCTGTACTGATTTTTTAGGTAATATTTTCCCTACAAACACTAAACAAGTAATTTTTCAAACATAAAAATATACAACTAATTTAAACGCTAAAACAAAAAAATAGAACTAATTTATCTTAAAAACACACAATAGTGTGAGACGCAAACGTAACTGCTATTATTCAGTTCCAGGCTATAAAAAACAAATAAAACCTTTTAAACAGGTAGTTGGCAAAAAATAAACACTTTTGTAGACCTCTTTGAACCGAAATAGCCTTTTAATTCAAACCATTGATCAACTGAAAAATCAAGCAATCCAAAACAGCCTCGCCTTTTTTCAGTTAGTTGGTGTTTTACTGTATCAGTATCATGATATAAAGACAGGTGTATTAGGAATTGAGAAATATTTGTACAGACACGATTTTGGTACGATATTAGATTTTATCGTTAACTATCGTTTAATATTGCTCCACAATTACTTGTTGTAAATTAGTGTTTTCTTTCCGCAGGTCCACAGTTTTGTAGAGACGTTGAAGGATTTGACAGCAGGAGTGGAGATTAAGGCGTCCTCACGTCAAGCCATGGTTGGTAGCCTCACGGACAACTCAACCGAAACTTTCTGGGAGTCTGGAGACGAAGATCGCAACAAGACCAAAACACTTACAATCACATGTCCAGCACACTCCAGCATGCACATGGTCTCCATCCACATCGATAACTGTCGAGACCTGGCTGTAAGTGTAACGAAACTGTGTGTCTTGTTTTTGTTTGTTAGCCATAAAGAAATGTTATAAAAATTATAAACTTACTTACTGCTTACTGCCATGGCCACTTGTACCCTAGCTGGTACTTGGCCTCGCCAACACGCTGTCGCCAATAGTCTCGGTCCCATGCATCTTCCTCTACAAGCCTCATCCTTTCCAAATCTTTTCGTACTTGACCCCACCACCTGGCTTTCGGTCTACCTATTGGTCTTCTTCCCCTCGGATTTCCTCTGAGTGCTATCTTCAGTAGACTCTCCTCCTTTCTCCTTAGGATATGGCCAACCAGCGAGCACATAATAATAATAATAGAGAGGACACGGCGTTTAACCAAATGCACTGAAAGTGTGGCCAAATCCGCCATCTTGGTCCGTCATACAGCCTGAATCCAAGACCCGCGAGCACAGTTCGCATTAAAAACCCCGCGACAAATACACGATCATAAACAACATTAATAGTTGACAAAAAATTCTGAAATTTTGCACACTTGTAGATATGATACTGAGGAAAACGATGGTGTTAATATAAAACTATTAGTTACGATAGTAATTGAGTTATAAATATGTTCAATACTTATGTAGTTTAATATTTCAATTTCAGACATGAAAAAGTTGTATTGCGAGGAAATTTTTATTTTTTGGTCAGAGAAATTTCGTCAGCGGGAAAGTTGTGGATAAATAACCAAATTTAACTATACGATTCACCAAAATTTTTTATCATGTTCGGTTTTCTAAAAAATCAGGTACAAAAGGGATCCATTGCCGCTGCTCCACGCCACGCCCGCTGCGCCGCCGGCCGTCTTCTATACATTTAGCGTGCAGTGTTTTAATGTTTTATACTGTTGTACTGTAATATTGTATATATTAAAGAAATTTTCAAATATATTGTCTATGTAGAATTTTCAACCGTTTAGCACAACTTTTTAAGGATTAATTAGCTTTCAATATCATTCAAGATAAACTAAAGATAATTCTGTAAGTTAAATTAAACTTCCTAAATATATTTGTAAAATTACACTCAATTTATTGTCCCAGAAAAATTACAGTTTTATTGAGATGTTGCCTGATTTTATTTTTGTGAAGACTTTCGTTACTTATTTTACAGTAGTAGTGAACTCTAACATTGGAATATTTTTTAGCAATAATTTTAATTAGGTACTAAACAAAAATGATTTTTGTCCATATTGTTTCATATCCTGAGAAATGTGTACTATTTGGAAACAAATTTACACCTACACATTGTCCAAGTACTTTGTTCGTCAAGTCCTCAATTACATTGTTTTCCTTTACACTAAAATCATTTAACTTTATATCTTCACTATTCTCATCAAGCATAGCAGACGACTAGCGCGCTGCACACGCCGGGACTACTGTCGGGGAATTAAATATGTGCACTCGAGTTTGAGCCTAAATATCTCTTGAGATGAATTATCAGATTTTGTTGAGACAAAAATTAAATATAATCTGGGTTAAATACATTTTACGTGGTAACAATTTAAAAAAAAATCCGTTTACCAGAAAAATTTATATAGTTGAAAGATCCTAAAAAGTACCGATTTTTAAGAAACTCTGCACTAACACTGAAGTTTAAAATTTAATTGTAAACAAACTACTCAGCCAATCTTTCTGAAATTGTTATGGCTTATTGGTAGGTTTATTGTTAACAGTTCCATGCATTTTAAAATTTTTACTCACAATAGTCTTTATGGTGATGTTTTTTTTTTTTAACGTATGCTAACATCGTTAATAAGACGCTAAAAATGTCGTTCAAAATGCCATCGTGTTTGTCGTGACACAAGAAATAAAATAACACTAATATGACAGATTTATAATGTGAACAAAGATGTTTTTTAAACAGATATATATTTGTAAACAAAAATTTCTCCCGCGATAAAAAGATCGATTTACTACGGTAAAAACAATCGATTTACTTTAAGACATTTCCAACAATATACTAATACGACAATGTACTTCCAGAAAAACCTAAGTAATTTTTATGCAAAAGTATTTTTACATTTCAACAAAGTCTATGTAAACAACACTGACTCGAAGCATAGCAGACGACCAGCGCGTTGCAGACGCCGGGACTAGGCTAGCGCCGCCATCTTTGTCCGTTTCGTCGGCTAGTCAGACTGCCACGCTCCTGCGCTCCGAGTAGCGCTTCTATTTTGTTATGTGTTCGCTGTGGCCAACCCACCTTAATCTTCTACTCTTAACTTCTCCAATGATATCAGGGTCTTGAAATAATTCTCTTAGTTCCCGGTTGTGGCGGATTCTCCATATTCACATACTGGCCCATATATAGTTCTCAAAACTTTGTTCTCAAAAGTTATTATTTTCTTTTCTGAGTTCTTGCTCAGGATCCAATTTTCCCCTCCATATAAAAGTACAGGTCTTACTATAGTTTTGTAGATTCTAATTTTTGTCTTTCTCGTTAAAAGTTTTGATTTCATTAGTTTACTGCATGCGTACCAACTCTTATTTGCTAAATTTATCCTATTCTGAATTTCCATGTCTTCCGTATTTTTGTCAGATAGTAGAACGCCTAGATAGGTGAAATTATTTACTCTTTGGAATTCATGGTTGTTGACTTGAAAAAACTCTTCATTATTTCCAGCTTCTCCTCTTGTTACTATCATGAATTTGGTTTTTGCATAATTTATTTTTAGCCCTACATACTCAGTTTCATTTATTAGTATCTCCGTTAAAACCCTAAGATCTTCTTTTCTTTCAGCCATCAGTGAAACTTATAAAAAATTATAAACTATCAGAATGAATTACATTGAGTTAAGACTATAGCAGTTGATGCAGCTCAAATCTGTGCATTAGTCATAACTTTTTTTTCTTCTGGGATAGGGTTTGATCCCATTATTCCTGATCAAATCCCAAACAAATATTGTAATATTGTGATAACCTTATGGAGGATTGAGTAAAATCATGTTAAGGTAAAAGGTGTCTAATTGTTTAAATTAAACTAAATTAAACTGCAAATTTATTTAAATTTAAAGTGATTTAAAATTCCAAATATATTTGTGGATGTATAATTTTTACATATTTAACTGATATATTTCTTGTTATATTTCAGAACAAAGTGTCCAGTGTGACGTACCAGTCCGGCCCCAACAGTGAGGAGTTGTACAAGATTAGAACAATCGAGGTGGAGAGTCGAGCTACAGGATGGTTTAGCTGTCCAGTTGTTGGTCAGTTTTTTTTCTTGCTTATGGTAGTGTATTTTACAACCAGAGGTATTTTATAGTTTGCCTTTTTGTGGTCTCTTTGCCAGTGGTAAAGGAATATAAAGGAATCTCAAACCCTTTTACCTAGAAAATATTTTGTGAATATGCTAAAGATTTAATTCAGTTTTTCTTGCACCAAAGACAAGACCTTAACCACTAGATTAGCATTACATCAATTTATTAGAGCAGTTTGAGTTTAATTCTTTCATAGATCACTAGTTAATGCTATACTTTGAATGTTGTACCTCAAATTTGCTACCAAAAATGTTACCAAGTACATTTGTAACAACAGGACAGGTAAGAATGGTCAGTCTCATTCCAAGAAAAAATGTATGTCTAACTCAACTCTATCCTACCCAACTACCCTGGTTTACCCCTCAAGTGATTGGTCCTATCATACCTGGTTACATACCCAGTTGCTAGGAACTGTCCAAGCAAAGTGTAACTGTGTGTGTCTAGAATGTGCCACTCTCACACATTGTTTTTTTGTAATAACAGGTTTAATTGCATCTATATACATCCACAAACTTTAAATTTATATTTTTGATTAGGGCTGCTTTCTCTCAAAAACATTTGTGATTCCTTCATAAAAAATCCTATTGGTATAGTCACTGAAAAAAGTGCAGTAGTGCAGCTGTGCTTACACAGTGCAAAGCAATCTGGAATGAAAGCGATTGCAGCAAGAAGTGATTATTGCTAATTTGTTAAGAAGTTTTGCCGACTCTTGCACTCCTCTATGTGTACCAGATCTAACAGTGATTTGTGCAGATCGAGAACACAGTGTGGTGAGACTGGAACTGAAAGGTCCGGACAATTCTCTGCGGCTCCGTCAGATCAGAGTGTTGGGCGAGGCGGAGGGAGAACCACTGAGACAGGGTCGCCAACACAGTGCTGCCACCATACAACAGCGAAACACCGAGGCAGAGACACTCAAAGTGTTCAGACTCATCACATCACAGGTCAGGCCTGCCAACTTTAACTTAACTTTAATGTTTTGTCACAGAACATTGTTGTATATTGAATGATTATCTGGGGAAAGTAATGTAAGTGGTGTTGATGATTTGGGACCTTCAGCAAAAATCCTGTTATATCCCCTTTCAAATTGGATTTTAACTTAAGTTTTTTGTGTTCAACCTAAACTAAAACTTATATTTTTTAATCTACTACGCTCATTAATATGAGTAGTGAATGTTGAGCAATAGAGGAAGTTTTAATATAAACTATGTTTGTACTAATATGCATAAGTAGTTAACAAATACCTTTAGGAAAATATGTTTTTAAAGTTTTTCCATAATGTTTATTTAATAACTTCATTTTGTGTAGCTTAAATTGTCACATTTTATTTCAGGTGTTTGGAAAGTTAATAACTGGAGAACAAGAAGAACCAACAATTGAGGAGACCAATGACCTCAAAGAACACATGGTTGGCATTTTGTTTAGCCGCAGCAAGCTTACCCATCTTCAGAAACAGGTTTGATTTTCAGAAACATAACCTTAATTTATAAATATAAGATTCTTTGTGTATTTGTTGTGGCAAATGTACCTTTTTCATTAATTGTAAAAAAAAGATTGGTGTGGTATAAAATGACACTCATCCACTCATCCATACGTAAACATTTTTGTACTATGTGACTAAGGCTTGAAGAGTCATAGAAAGTATGCAGGTGTAAGGATTAGAAAAAACTATGTGATATATTCTATCACTAGTCAAAGGTGGTATGTATGTACTGCATGCTAAAACAATCTTAAAGTATAGCGAAGTGTAGATGCCTAAAACCTGGAACGTATCTTCCAAGCACAGACAGACAGGTGTGCCCTCTTGACACACCCTTTATGGTGTACAGTCAGCCATATCACACAGAAATATGATGCAATTTCATGGTATGGAAGGCTATAGATAACTGGAGATTGGATGATCGAGAGTGTACTTCCTAGAGTACCTACAGTACTGGATGCTGATACAGAGTCCCGCAAACTCGGCACTGGATAACCCGGCAGTCTGGATAACTCGGCCATCACCTGGCTCAGAAAATTAGTGATTTTTTGAGTCCGAGTCAAACATGGACACAAGCCAGCTCAAGTATAATCATTTGCAACTCGTACTAAGGATTTGTTGTACTATATCTGATGACTTAATACTGACTTGTAATATAAATCTAATTGAAAAAGGCGGTTAAAAAGCTTAAAAATTGTATTGCTCTTATTTTTAACTCTAGTTCCCGATAACCCGGCATTTCACAAACTCGGCACCCTTCCAGTCCACATTACGCCGAGTTTGCGGGACTCTACTGTACTGTAATTCGTAAATCATTTATAACATGTCTAAGAATCCCATCTGTAGAGCCTTTTGCCCGAACAGCTACATTACCTGGTTTTGGCTATTTTGCATGGTCATAAATGTTAAAAGAGAGTAAAGAGACACGTTTAATAAAGAGAAATAAACAGGAATAACATAATCAGCTGATTTAATTTCCAGGTATGCACACACATAGTGCAGGCCATCCGGAAAGAGACAATAGCTCTGCGGGAAGAGTGGGAGACGAGGCTGTGTTCCGGAGTAGCAGCCAGCGACACTCCGGACACTTACTGCTTTGAGATGCTCTCCATGGTGCTGGCCCTGAGTGGGTCTAGTGTGGGTCGTAGCTACTTGGCACATCAGCACAGCCTGCTGACTGATCTGCTGAGCTTACTACACACAGGGTCGGCACGAGTACAGCGCCAGGTATAGTCCACATGCGTGTACCTTGTTTATGGTTCAAAATTGGGTCCAGCTGTTTGTAACGGGTTTTTCCTTTAGCAAAAGGTCTGGATTAAGAATCAGCTGATTGTAACAAAGCTACACAAATCGTCCAATATTTCACTCCACATCCATCTTGCATTCATATTCATCTGAAAATCCTGTTGGTGGCATTACTTTGCCAAAAGTAACGACAATGTATGATGCCAAATTTTAAGTATGAATACACAAAATGTCAACATTTTCAAAAGCATGTCTCATCTGTTAGAATCAAGACGGCACATTTTCTTCAGTAAAAATAAATTTTTGTGTGATGTGCATTCACAGTGACATCATGATCTAGATGTCACGTCCTGTGATTATTGTGCTAACATCAAGATATCCTCCTCCAATATGAATATAGCAGTATATAATATCTTGATCATTTTCAACAATTGTGGTAACATTTCGATAATTTCCTGCGCAAATGGCAGCATCTTCATGAATTCTTTGCAATCTCCAAACTTTGCAGACCCAGACGTATTGCTCAATCCCAACATAATCATTGGATCTTATCCCAATTTCATTTAATCCTCCCAATAACAGAAACCAAAACTTTCCCTTTGTTGTCTTGAACGCCATCATTATGTATAATTATTAAAGAAACATTGTTCTCTATGTAATAATTAAAGCACTTTACGTTTTTAATAAACTAACTGTTTACCTAATTCAAAGTTTTGAACTTTCTAAAACTGACTGGTAATGTACAATACACAATGTATGATTGTAGTTATACCACTAGTATATCATGTTGTCCCAGGTGACGCTACTACTGCGCCGTATGCTGCCAGAAGTTGCACCACAGACATTGGCTCATCTGACTTGTGTGCCTCGCCTACCTCCCTCGGACTTCAGCGCTGTGACTACCAGCAAGAGTGACGACGACGAGTTTGACCCCCATAGGTGTGAAATGGTTTATCAATTGCTTTTCGGATACATTACTTCTTATCCTTCATCATCCATCTCATTCCTGCCCTTTAAATACAAAATTATGCTCTTAACAACATTTTATATGAAGAATTAAAATTTGACTTTAATTCGTTTAAATATCTTTGACTATAAGAAAAACAACCTGTGAAATAAACATCCAGTAGTACACAGGTTCACCTATGTTGGAAAAAAATGGATAGCTCTCATGCGATTAGAACTTTTCTACCTCCACTAAAATACATACAATACCTAGGTAAGTAACCTAATAAACAAATAAAACATTGAAACCACATTCCCAGTGTTGAATCCTTGTGTGCCTTTGCAGGATTGGTATCCTGGATGTGTTCCTGAGCGTTGTGGCGAAGGCGTTGACAGTGCAGGTGAAAGTGAAGGCTCGTGAAGGCAAGGGTGTAACGTCTGTCACCCTAGCAACGGCCATCCACCCGCGCGACCCCATGGGTAAACGATGGTGGCTTCGGGGCTGCATCACCCGGAAACTGGCCGAGGACATCATACAGCTCATCAAGGACATGTCTTCGGTAATGCTCATGTGTAACTGTATATGCTGACCTTGATGGCAAACAAGTTATAAAAGCAAAATGTGTAACCCATGTGTTAATGTAAACCTTGTGTATTAATCTCAAGTGTTAATTAGTGTACAATTTTTCCTTGTGGTCATCTTCTATTAAAACATCAGCTGTAACAATAAGTTGATAGCTATACAGTTTGTAATAATATTTAACTTAGTCTACATAATCTTTTATAATTACCTGAGTGCATCCGTTGTAGGAACAAAACAGTTTAAAACTTCACTTAAAACACATAAACTTCATTCAATTTTCTAACAATCAATGTGGATAATCTTTCAGGGTAAGCTGTCTGAGGTATGGGCACGTGTGACTAAGGGCGCCATTGCTGAAAACATCATGAACCTGACTAAGTTGTCGGAGGTACAGCGGTCACCTGGTGAGTGTGTACGATGTCCCACGCTTTGGCTCTCGCTCGCCTCATTGTGTGTGCTGGACAACGATCACGTTGAGCGTCTGTCGTCTGCACAGTGGCGTAACAGTGCTGATGGTAACCCGCCGCCTCCCAGGGTAAGGTCATTTAGTCAAAGTGTTATTATTTCTTGGATATTGGGGTTAGGCCTGTAAAGGCTTTAAAAATAAGACTAGTATTTGAAATAAAATATTTGTTTGGATTGTGCTACTAAAATATTTAGACAGTTTCAGCTCGGTTGATCTTGAATCTGGAACGCAAGTGAGGTTTTGCTACAACAATTATTCTTCTCTTCACAAAAGCAACATGGTTCACTTAACAAATAAAGTGTATTAACATTAAATAAAAAGGAGTCTGGTTTTCAAGCAGAATAATGATGTGTTGAAATGCATTACTGTAGTTAATTTTTTTTTATCTTTACAACTAGTGCTTCTGTTAAAAATAAATATTTCCCATTTTAGCCAACATGCAGCAACCATGATGATGGAGAGACACTAGCTATCATTCAGTGCAACATTTGCGGAAGTCTGTGCGCCGACTGTGACCGGTTCCTACATTTGCACCGGCGCATGCGCATGCACCACCGTCAGGTACTTCTACAGCTCTTTCAGAATAATATTATTTTATTAGCAAAGGAAAATTTAGTATTGAATGATATTTTATTGTTTTTCACAACATGTAATTATATTATGGTTATGGTACAAATTTTTGTATACTTCAAATTGAACTATAGATATCCCTCAATTTAATATTTTCTCTAAAAATTATAATGTGACTGTCTTGTCTTTCCATTGCCCAAAAAACTACTGTACCAATTCATCAGAAATTTTGCACAAAGATTAACTACTAATCTACAATTATTACAGGCCATGAAGTCTATTTCAATTCCGATATCAACCTCTGAAGATCTTCCCTGTGTTTCCAAACTTCAGAGTCGTAGATTTGGGAAGTAAATTGATCTTAATGGAGTGAGCTTTAGTATAGAATGAACTGTACTAATAAAATTAAGTGATTGGTCACAAGATGTGAACCTACGATATTGCTGTCTTGGACTTGAAGTCTTTTGTGCTACTGACTGAGCCACTGACACCAAGTTAATATCAAAAACGTGTTTAATTGTAAATACCTAAAATGTAAAATCTTCTTCCCCGCAGGTCTGCAAAGAAGAAGAGGAAGCAGTAAGGGTGGACCTACACGAAGGTTGTGGCCGTACCAAACTGTTCTGGGCTCTGCTGCTGGCCGACTCCTGTACTCTAAAGGCGATGGTGGAGTTCCGAGAGGGGGCCCGAGTGAGCGGGCGGGGGCCAGGGGTGGTGTCTGGGGTGTGTCGTTTCTGTGGGGCCACTGGGTCGTCGGGGCTGCTAGCCATCGGCAACATCTGTGCTGACCAGGAGTGTCAGGTGTGGGAATATTGTCAGTTTTTCACAAGAGCTTTCCATATTTTTCGCTGCTTAATGGTTACAAAACTAACATACTAACCTCCCTCATTGGTTGTCAAAGAATTTCAGAATGATTTTAACTAAGTACTACTAACATTACTAACACTAATAACTCTAACATAACATTTTTTCTCAAATAATGGAGTTTAAATTGTTTACCTGATAAAATCTGAGCCCAGGAACTTGTGGGGGCACAATCAAAGGTCATCTTATACTACTGATATTTTGTCCCTACGTAATTAACGTCTCTCCAAAAAGTAGGTTGACAAGTATGTGAGTTAAAATATAAAAAAAACACTGTCATTACAATCTGACTTGAAATTGACAGTTTTAAACTTTAACTGTTATTTCAAATCAGTCTACTCCTTAAAGAAATCCTTCATCAAGCTTAAATATCAGCGGTTTTTAAAGCCCTTGGATTCTAATTTTCTCAGGTAGGCCTAAACTAGTTCAAATCAACCCATGAAAAAATAAATACTTCCTAACTTTACATTAAATGAGTTAGTTAACGTTTAATTGCAAACGGAAGTTTGCTACACTTGTTACGAGATGTAATAAATTAATATAAGGTAACATGCACGTTGATTTGGTGGGATGACTTACAAAAACTTAAAATTTAGTAAGGTTTTTGTTTTGCACACAAAAATAACTAAATGCCTCATTGTTTTGGTTATAAACTTGCAAGACTAAGTACACAGCATAATCTTCACCGTTTAATGTTTCAGGAGCATGCTCACAATGTGTGTACTAAGATGTTAGTGTGTGGGCACTTGTGTGGAGGAATCGCTGGGGAACCTGAGTGTCTGCCTTGTCTACATGGTTGTTCAGGAGACTCGACTCTCAAGCAGGACGCTGATGACATGTGCATGATATGCTTCACTGAAGCCATCTCATGCGCTCCTGCTATACAGGTAGGAACGCTAACAAGAATAACAAGATGTTGGTTACTGAACACGTTCGCAATGGATTGCCTTTTTTACGTTTATAAATTATATATTTGTTTGAGTTTCTTTTTTTTTGCCACTGTTATATGGCTCTCAAATGAGTACAACCATTTTACAACTACAGACCAATAGCTTCTTTCTTCATTTCGATCCACAAGAAAGAGTAAGGTGACAGAAGTAGTCTGGTTGCGGATATTGTACTTAATTTCTTAGATGGCCTGAAGAAGCCCATTTTGGTTTTGTGAGTCCAAACGCAGCAGTAAGCATTGGTCTAATGGGTTGATTTATTGTACACCTGACACAATTGGAACTGGTGCGGAAACTATAAACCATTGGTAGCTAAGGCTTCAAATTTTTATGTTAAACCGCTATGAGTCACATATTGACTTCACTCTAAGATTGACCTTTGGAACAGTGAATAAACCAGTTTAGATAAGAAAAACAAAGTTAACACAGTTTATTTAGCCATTCAAAAAATTTATTATTGGGAGCAGAGCGATTGAAAAGCATGGCAATGCATTGTGTTCATGTCTCAATTGGATTGTGGTTTTAGGGGAATAATCATTTCAACTGTTATAAATGTTAATTATTCTTCATCGCAACACTAGTTCAATGTTGAAAACGCTCTCTCATGTTTTACGAAAATTCAGAGATGTGTGTTAAGAAATTTTGTGAGTGGCCTTATTATAAGGTCCATTTCTTTGCACCTACACCTTAAAAAAATTTTGATAGTTCATAAAATAAAGCTGTCAGGTTTGTTTATCTGAGACAAATCTCTCAAGTAATGATGATGAACAATTTTTTTCATTTTGTTTCATTGCTAACTCTTGTCCGCAGCTCAAGTGCGGCCATGTCTTCCATCTTCACTGCTGTCGTAGCGTGTTAACTCGCCGATGGGCCGGACCTCGCATCACCTTTGGCTTCTCTCAATGTCCCATTTGCAAGGTACTACTTTTTTACTCATTGAATTTCAGGGATAGTTCGTTCATTTAATTATTCACATTTTTTAATGTCGTCTCATCATATAAGAACCAAAATTCAATTTCCCACAAAACAAGTTTCTGGTGAAAACACACTCGTATTTGAGTTTGGAATAGCTAAATTAATTTGATTTATCCTCAGTAGAAGATGTACCTTAATACTACTTCATCATGTAGCTATAAAGTGTTACTTTATATCTTGCTGTTGCATACTACTTTTAAAGTAGCCTCCTCAACACTTTTTGTAACTGAATTTAACTTTAACTTAGTTAAGAGCTACATTAGCATTATAACATTATAAGTATTTGCAAAACGTAATTGACTTTAGACAATATACAATATGTACAACTTAACTGTTCAGGCTCCAATCGAACATCCAGTTTTGGCTGAGTTGCTGTCTCCTATACAGTCTTTGTATGAGGACGTGAGACGCAAGGCACTCATGAGACTAGAATACGAGGGACTAGACAAGGGACGTCCAGATCCTGCCTCCTACGCCATGGAGCGATACGCTTACTACGTCTGCTTCAAATGCACTAAGGTAACACAACAATCAATTAGGTAGTTAATTGCATATACATTGAGTACAGTGTTGTGTCAAATCTTAACCTAGTTAGCAAACTTTGTTGAAGTTACAGATATGTTATTGATAGAAGATCTACATAGAACTTAACAGTTTTTTACAAAATGGGAAAATCTGACAAAATGTACAAATTTTACAAAATGGTCAAATTTTACAAAATGGACAAATTTTACAAAATGGACAAATTTTACAAAATGGACAAATTTTACAAAATGGACAAATTTTACAAAATGGGCAATTTTTACAACAAAAATTGATAAAATGGACAAATTTTACTAAAATGCACTGTTGAGTTTACAACAGCTGGCTTTACTCTTGACTTATTCAGGATTCATTTTTTAAATTTCTGTTTCGGTTTTGATACTCGAAATTTCAGGTTTTGGCCTACACTAGTTCATGATAAAGGACACTTTCTAAAAAATTCCAAACCTTATTTTTGTAGTGATACTGTAGGTGGACTAGGGATTGTATAGAAAAGAATTATTTTTGACCCTAGTGATGAAATATACTGTTGGGACCTGTAAGATAGTGTTTGTAACAAAATAAATTACCAACAGTTATTAGTCTAATTATATTGCTTGCCTATTTTTATTCAGTACTAAAAAAATGTTCATTAAACATCTTTTATTTTGTGATGTAATTATTGAGCCACACCCTAATTTGTTTTAGGGTGTGGTCATCCGTGTTTGTTTGATAATATCATGTCAGATCCTTTGATAAGGCCAACACCTCAACTCTGTTATACTGTTGAATTCAGTCATTTCCTATTGTCTACCCGGCAGTATGGTACAACAGAAAGTGTTCCTTGTGTGAATGTTTAGTGATTGATGTTTTAGTTATCTTATTTATCTTATAAAAAGTAGATTATAAGTAGAAAAAAAATCAACAATGGCCAGTTCAAATGCTAATATTCAAGAGATATACGATGCTTTGGAAAAATTATCACTTAGGGTGACTCGGGTCGAACAATCCATCGCTTCTCCTCACGATTGTTTCTCGAGGTCTTACTTTAGTGAATTGACAAGATCTTTAAGCATGCCTGGATTAAGATTTGTTGGAGAGAAATTCCAACACAGGATTCATTCTTACTTGTGGCTTCTTATTCACTCAGTGGCTTTGCTCATCAGTTATGTTTACATCCAGGAAGAATACAACAACTGGCAGTCTTCTCCTGTTGTTAGAACTTTGTCCAACAACCTGACCTTTGTCGATGAGATACCCTTCCCTGCCATCACGATTTGTGTTCCCTACTATTTTAAGAATGATTACGACTATATGAAGAACATTCATAAATGCATGAATTGTAATTCAACTGATAACAATTTCTCGGATTGTTTTTACAACGGGAAATGTGAAAGATACGAAATTGAAACTCTCGCAGTAGCTTCTGGCTTTTGTTCATTCCAGGGACTAGAAGGCTTTCCTGATGCTGCATCTAAAGTTTATTCACGGGATGTAAATGTATCGATCGACGGTAAACTGTTTAGTAGTCTTTCACAGCGAGTTTTGCCACCTTGTGATTTTCTTGTTCAGCAGCGAATAAATGAAAACAAAGACTTTCAAAGTGGATGTAACAGCAATGGATTTCAGCATTTCTTAGCCTACGGTGCTTATGGTATGTGCACAACTGTCAACGGTTTACGACATGAAGACATTTTAAAAGAAAGCGCAGTATCTGCAATACCAATTCAGCCAAAGTCGATCGATAAAAGATATGTGGGGAAAGGTATGAGTTTGGAAAATATGATGTATTTCAATGGTGGAAATAATACTATACCCGCGTATTTCACAGAAGATGATTATTTTACTTTTTATATTACAAAGCAGAAAAATCAAACGGGTGAAAATATTTGCAATACATTTTCCAATGATGAAATAGCATCTGTTATTTTACACAACCCGGCAGAAATACCTTTATTGCAGGGTTTGGAACGGATGATTAGCGTAAATAAATATAACTATATGAAGGTAATTCCCAAACTTGTAATCACCAAGAAAGACCTAACTAGGTACAGTCCTGCTCAAAGAGGATGTTATTATTCACATGAACGAGAGTTGATGTTGTTCAAGTTTTACAGTGAAAGCAGCTGTGAGGCTGAATGTAACGTGAACTGTTCTATCAAAAATTGCAATTGTGTCCCTCTTTATTTGCCGCGACCAAATACTTCTCTAAGAGTGTGCGTGGTTGAATGCATCTATGCTAACTGTGATTGTGGTTGTCTACCAGATTGCATATCTCTGTCATATGAATTTGAAGCCAGGAAAGAATCAAAGAATACTAATGAAACAGGAGTTTTGTTTGTGTTTTACAAAAATAAAAGTTTCAATCCAATGATTCGAATAGGTATCAACGACTTGGCAGGTTTCATAGCCTACAGTTTTGGGATTCTGGGAACATTCAATGGATTTAGTGTCATGGTGATATTTGAAATAATCTACTTCACAACTTTCCGCTTATGGAGCTCGATAAAAAACTATTTAAATTCCACTGATAATTGATCACTACAGCTTGGTAAGTCAATAATAATACTTTTATATTATTATTGGTAGAAAATGAACATTTCCTCCAATATTGAATATTTATGATGTTTTTCACTACTGTCATATCATATCATCACAATTAGTTATCTTAAACAGATATACACTGAAAATAAAATTGATAATTCCATATCCAAACAAAATGGCAAGCATTAATAAAAGTACAGTATGGTAAATTTTTTAATTTTATTTTTTAATTAATGTAACAAATGTTATTTTTATTTTAATATATTTATAGTTTTATTTGTATTTTAAGAAATTTATCAACCACGTTCAAAGTTGTCTACATAAATAATTTAATATTCACTTTGGAAAACAGGAAAACTTAGGTTCACAGTATTCATCAATTTGTTTATTAAAAATTCTGCATTAGGAAGGGTTTTGATTTCAACATACTAAAAAATAGGTAGTGCTGTCTGTGGATGTAAATGATTTTCTGCTGGTGTCTATAATGTGTTTATTGTTATCTACGTCATCGGCGTTTTCCCCAAGGGAATAGTCCAAACCCTGGTCTTGTTACATACCAACGTTGACCTTCGTCATTAATTGATAGCCCAATGACAAATAGCATTTGGGTCCAAAATCGATCTTGCTTGGAATTGAACCAAAAACCTTTAGGATTGAAGGCAAGCACTATAACTACTCCACTACTGATACAGTGTTGTTGGTTTTCCTGACATTTCGCTGTGTTGCAGGCATACTACGGAGGAGAGGCTCGTTGTGACGCAGAACTCGGAAGCGGAGAATTCGACCCGGCAGAGCTGGTGTGTGGGGCGTGTTCGGACGTGTCGCGTGCCCAAATGTGTCCCAAACACGGCACTGACTTCCTAGAGTACAAGTGCCGCTACTGCTGCTCCGTCGCTGTCTTCTTCTGCTTTGGAACCACTCACTTCTGTAACGCTTGTCACGACGATTTCCAGCGTGTCACAAACATTTCCAAACATGAATTGCCATCTTGCCCAGCTGGTGAGTAGATAGAAAAACCGTCTAGGAAAAATGTAATGAAATGTATAACTAAATTTAAATGTTCAAAAGGGCCAAGATATACAATAATTTGTTTAATTCACAAGCGCGCTTTCGGAAACTAGGTTTCCATCGTCGACTGTGTTTAAAAGTAGTACATAAACAGCCTGACGATGGAAACTTAGTTTCCGAAAGCGCTTGTGATTTAAACAAATTATTACCCTATATATTGCCCTTTTTGAACTTTTAAATTTAGTTATACATTTCTTAATTAACAATATCTCCAATACAGTAGACCCCCTCTTAACCGACCTCGTATTAACCGATAATCGGATTATCCGCCTTCGATCGTAAAATAATACAGTTTGTTTTAACCGACCTTGCTTTGAGAGCAGCTCGGTTTAACCGCCGCTTTCTAGGAATCTCGGCATTTCCGCTCCCACACTGGGCGATGAGAACTGAACCATACGCTTATCTCTACAGGATATGACTAACAATAAGTTATTTTGTGTTGATCACAAAAAATATAGCATAGCCTATTGTCAGTTTGTCATCATCGTTCGTAGCTCGAGCACATCTGATCTGATTTGTTATCTGTGCGGCAAATGTATAACATCATAAAGTGTGTTACGATTTTGAGAACTGATTATCTTATCGCCGGAGTAAACAAACAACGTAACTTGTAGGGAAGGCAGGGAAGGGGGGTTAACAACTCCAAGGTCAAGATAGTTTTTGTGCCTCGAGCCTCCAGTGAGAGGCTATAAATAAACGTCCTGTCTTGTAACAAAATGGTCGCTTGTATCTTTAATGTCGACAAAAGGTTCTGTACTGTATTACGATGTATTTGGAAAGCATCAATTAATACATTACAGTACTAAAGTTATTAAAATAGGAATTTTATTGACTCTTGCCTAGTATTATAATATATTCCACTGAAAATAGGCCTATTTGACTTAACCGTGTTTTGTGTTGTGTTTATTTGTGACTTTTCTATCAATATGAAAAAGGAGATAAGAGTAGTTTATTTTATAAATAATGCAAGTATGACTTCAAAATAACGATTATATAATTCCAAATGAATAGCACTTCATTATGTTATGATTTTAGGGATTGCCCGTTTTAACCGACCTTTTGAGTTATCCGACCTAGGTCCGGTCCCATTAGGGTCGGTTAAGAGGGGGTCTACTGTATATGTTATTAGGAAAGATATATTTAAGCAATACATGATTTTATAAAATGTGGTTTGATTTTTTTTTGGAGGGGGTTGATGTTTTTAGGGTATTGCATATATATTTCAAAACAATTCTAGTTAATCCAATGCATTTAATTTTGTCATTCAGGCCCCAAAGCCAAGCAGTTGGAGGGAGACGAGTGTCCACTTCATGTCAAACATCCTCCAACAGGGGAAGAGTTTGCGCTTGGTTGCGGCGTCTGCCGTAACGCCCACACGTTCTAACACGCCTGAACACGTCTTCACCTCACCAGCTGTGCTAATATTACTACCACTAGTCAAATTGCAACTTGAAGCTCTCTTTCCATTCTAGGAAACAATGTTTTTATTTCTGAATTAAAATTAGGATAAAGCTTTTCTTAAAATAATTATTCCAATGTCTATGTATGGTATAAGTAATTGATTTGACTTTTTGGCTTTCATTTGATGTCGTGAACAAAGAAATGTTATCGAAAAATGTTATCAAATAAAGTAACAACGGGTATAATTTTGTTTACTCTTTTTACCTCAGCAACTTGGTGTATGTAAAACAGATTCAGGATAATAAAATCTGTTACATCAATAACCGACAAAATGGCTCCTCAGAATTGATTTTAAAGATTTTAATAACTCTACAAACTTATATCGGGATGATCAGCCTAATATTGGAAAGGGTGATAAATGTGGTTCCCATTCCACTATAAACTGTGATTTTATGAATATCACGATTTTTTCATTTAACGAGCTTAATTGTTTTTACAACATGTGTAAGTTATTAAGAGATAAAAACACCCCCGCCGCAGCAAACCTGCCGTCTAAGCGAATTTCCATTTGGCCGAATTGATTTTCAATTGATCTATTTAAATAACATTAGGTTTAACGAGTACCTAGGTTTGCTGCTACAAGGAAACTAATAAAGTAGTGTGTTTTTAGTAAAATATTGATAGCTTACTATAAAATAAATAAATTTGCCAAGTTTGATCAAAATATATCCATAAACAAGCAAACTACAACATTTTACAATATTCTCCATAAGAATAACATGGGAATTTTAAATTTACAATGTTTTTAGTTTTCTCCGTAACCAATAACCGTACAAAAACACTTTGATATACTGAGTTGTTTGTTTTTTTAAGCTCTTTAAGAAGGTTTATATAAAAATTGGGAAATTTTGTGTTTTGAGGGTAAAAAGTGAGAAAAACCAATTTTTACCCCATAAAACCCCCCATAAAACCCTTTTCCCATGGTCCGATCATGCTGGATCGCGAACTCATTCAAGTATATCCCGCCTTACACCTTCAAACCAAATTTCATCAAAATCGGATAAAAATTACTCAAGTTATCGTGTTCACGGACACATATATATATATATAAATCTATATATATATACCTATATATATATATACATACCGGTATATAAAAATTTGAACGAATGGTGTTTTTGGCCTCTGGGGACATTAAAATGAAAAAGTAAATCGGTCCCGGGCCTAAGTCTTACCATGAGACCTACGGTAATAGCTACTTCCCTATAGGGAAATTCGCTAAAATGTTACTATGTTTTAGCAATTTTTTTTTTAATATAATATAAATTTGTGTAAATATTACCACCCCAGAAAATGATCAAATATATCGGTCTCGGCACTAAGCATTACCGTATCACCTATGGTAATAGCTACTTCCTATCAGTAAGTAAAAAGAAGAATATATGTTAAATTAGTGTTTTATTTCTATTATACTTGTTTTCTTTATGTTAAGTTTTAGATATAGTTTTTGACGCCATTCCATGTACTGATTTATGTACAATATGAAATAAAGACTATTTGATTTGATTTGAACACAATCGTTGCGTCTACTACTACGGTCTATAATTTTTTTGCTGTTTCAAATATGTATATGATGCATTTTAACTACAAAAGTACAGGTTCTACATCAATAAGACTCATGCTGATTGCTGATGTACTTTTTCCCGCAGCATCTTTTCCGAGAGCCTGAAAGACGACCTCCTGTTGTTGTGTCAACCTTGTTCACTGGTTAAAAGGACAAGGACGTCACTTGCAGGATTTTGTTTTAAACAAATGGAAAAATGACTTTGTTAAGTTAAAATGGCAAAAGATAAGCTGTGTTTTGATCTGCTATTTATACCTATAGGGTGAATATTATTGATTTTGTACTGTATTGAAATTGGTCCCGGGTCCAGGTCTTACCATGAGTACTACGGTAATAGATCATTCCCTATATAGGAAATTTGCGAAAACCTTATAATTTCGTTTATTTAGATGTCAAAAAAATATCATAATTTATACACATCCAGGACTGATTTACTTTTTCAACTTCAAATTCCCAGAGGTCAAAAACGCCTTCCGTTCAAGTTTATGTAAATGTGTGTTTGTGTCCATCAGCACGTGAACTCGAGTAAAACTCATCTGATTTTCATTAAATTAAAAGAAAATGTTATGAACCAGTATGATCGTACTAAAGGGTACGGGGTTTTATGGGATTAAAATAGGTTTCCCCATTCTCACCCTAAAAATTCCTCCTAGGAAGCTGGAGGAAAGTGCCTAATTGCTTTGTATGGTGGCAACACATTCCACGATGAATTATAAAACCTTCGGTTCCGCCTGTTTGTAAAGGCAGCAGCCCGCGCTAAGGTAAACCTTTCACGCTTGCCCCCCACCCAAGATGCAGCTTCCTTCCACTTATTTCGAGCATACCACCAAGTGCAAAAATGGTTAGGGATTGAAAAGGATTCCACAGAGTGGGGTTGGTCAAATAGCACAACAGGATTGGTCCAGTGACAACAACATGCAGTCCAGCTCCATCCAACCTTCTGAAACTAGTTTCATGTAGGTGCAAAAAGGGATGCACGGGTGCTTGCACATGTTGGAAGGCCGGGATAAAGTGTTCACCATTATGTACTCCTTGCTCTGCTAAGAACTGCCAAAATATCACATTACCATTTATTGAAGAGGATGAAGATGACCCTGACGATAATATGTCTTTTCCCGAAGATTTTGAATCAGGAAACATTTCTAATACCTCGCCTTCTGTGTCCAAAAAGCCAAAATATTAATTATAAGAATGTTTTGTCATAATTTATAATATAACTTTAAATAAACTTTAAAGAAATATAACTTTTAACCTTAAATATGTTTTCATTATTTCGTTTTTATCACTTAATGGTTGGGGACATTATTTAAACTCATTAAATGAAAAAATCGTGATATTCATCAATTATTATTTGTATAGTTTTCAGACAAGTGTTGAAGGTACAGACTTGGACTTGGCTTCGTGATAAAACGAAAGCCAATAACATTTACTACAAAAGCAGTTTTTAAGAATTCTGCCATAATATGGGTATCACACAATTTTTGTGGGTCCAACAAAAAAAAATGTAAATTATGGATTACCATAATTTAATACTTAAAAAAAAATGTTATATTAGAAAAATCATTGCTCAAAAACTATTTGACACACAAAAATGAAACAATGCTTAAATTGTTGGAAATTTTATGTACTTTAACTATTACATTTGAGTAGTATTAAGAAAAATAAACTGTTAATAAGTTATAAACCAAAAACTTAAAAAATACATTAATTTTGTAATATTTTACTTATTACGCAGGAAGCACAGGGATCTCGAAGTTGCAAACTTGGTTTTGAGTTACCCTAACTGGTCCCAACAACATATTAAAAATGCAGCAATACATCACGCTTTGCGATTTTATTGTCCAATTTGACTGGCCTAGCCAGGTAAAAGAAAGCTACTAAATTGATCATGATCCTCAGTAAGATTTTATGTTCTGATAGACAGACGATATCAGGATTTTCAGCACACTGGTTACCTATGTATTTCTAGAAGTGACCCATTTGTTTTGACCCCACAAATGTTTTGATGGAAAATCCTTAGTGAATTGGCATTTTTGGCTCATCAAGGGCTAGACAGTGTCGCCCTATCGGGGCTCGGCTGTTGGCCAGTCCTAAAAAATACTTTGGGGGTTCCGTCCTGGAAGAAACTCTTAATTGTTTTAGTTCCCGTCAGCGTCCCCTCAACATCGCTATGTCCGCCCCTGCCTTGGTTTGAGAATGTTTTTCTATGTTTACTTGAAGAAAAAATGAAACTTATTGGATGTTTTTATTTTGCTCTTATTTGATTCTCAAGAGCAGAATTACTCTACTGTTAAATGCACTGAAATTACTTTGTTTGTTGTTGACTTGGCGTATGAGCTTTGACGATGGTTGGTTCTTTTGATGGTCCGTAACAGGCCCATTCAACTTCACTAAAGGTGTTATAGAATATGCTATTAAATTAGCTAGTCTAATTTTCCAATGGTGGTTAAATTTGTAAGCCGTGTCGAGTGTAAGACGTCTGGTAAAATCCTCAGTGCGGACAAACTTGGCATTGGGACGATCCAAAAATTAACTATCAAGTTTGTTAGTTTAAGGATAGTAGAATTAAAATCTTGTACATCATATCTATTAGAAACAGACATTTTTGTTGTCCTAGGACGCTACGAGCCTGGGATTGTTTTTCACATTACTCCAAGCTAGACCTAGGGGTTGCGGCATTATCACTTAAAAAGATAAAATCCATTGGGGATTTTGCGGGATTTGAACCCGGGGCCCCGGGACCTCTTTTGGACCGAAGTCCTGGGCTCTAACCACTCAGCTCGCTCCCCATTAGAAACAGACATTACCATTACATTAGTCTTATAACAACATTTTCCAAAAAGGAATTGAGCTCACCCTGCATTTATGTACGGTTATCAATAACAACAACGTAAATAATTGGTTCGTAATGTTACTGCTACCTTCCAGGACATTTTTCATAGTCCCGCCAGGCTTCACGATAGCATTGACTTCAAAAGTGCCTTTTAGTTGACTCTGGAGATTTTCACGAATTCCCCGTCCATGGGAATCACAGATTAAAACAACTTTCCTGGACTTAAAATTTGAATTCTATATTGGTGCTTCGTGAATCTCAGGTATCGCGAATCTCTCGTTCGTTTGGACACTGTTAAGGCAGCCCACTGTGACACCAACGCCCAACGGTCGTTTCAGTTAGTTAGCTGTCTGTGGCAATAACTACTTCCTATAGGGATATTCGCTAAAAGTGAATGATTACATATCAGTTGAAGGATACTGATTATCAGTATCCTTCATACTACCATTAACCATTCCTCCCAGAGGGGAGGTAATTGCCCGGTGTCTGAACCGGCACTTCAGGTAGGCCACAGTTATGGACGACTGGTAAGCGCCAGCCCCTTAGGGGGAGCCTCCAGTGACATTCCCTCCATTCAGGGTGGTGGGGTGTTTAGCTCTCAGTGATGCCGTGTTCGCCGCCTCTCCTCACCTACCTGTAACTGTGGTTGTGACTGAGTCCTACCTGTTGTGTTCGACTGACATTTTGCGAGGCATATCCTCGGCTCTGGAAGTAGCCTCGTCCTGGGAGGTGAAAAACCTAGCCCCCAAAATGGAGGTAACTGCTCGGTGTTGGTGTCGGCTTTTCAAGTAGGCCATAGTCATGGACGTCTGGTAAGCGCCAGCCCCTTAGGGGGAGCCTCCAGTGACATTCCTCCATCCAGGTTGGTGGGGTGTTTAGCTCTCGGAGAGGTGGAAGTGCGCCATCAATCTCCCATCTACAACCTGTGACTATGGTTCTTTGGTCTTCGGCCTGCTTGCTCTGTGCGACCAGCATTCTGTGTGGCAAATCCTCGACTTTGGAAGTAGCCTTTCCTGGAGGTGAAATCGGGCAAGTACCCGTAAGCTCACGGGGACACTCTAGGGGAGCGTAACTTTCCGCAGTGTGAGGGCAACGGCTGCAAGGGCGCACTCCATCAGCCAATCCCTGTCTCTGAGACCGGAAGGTATGGTTATCTAGAGTGTGGGGAGTTCTCCCTGGAACTTCAATTGAGCAAAGGGTGTCGCCACCTATGGTGGATAGGTTCATCCGGGTGGGACCCACTTCTATTTCTGCCTCCTTTTGGGAAACCCTGATGGCCTGGCAGTGATGTTGGGCTTGACGGGCAAACGAAGTAGATCGGGTGCTGGGTTCAAGCCCGCTGGGGGTGTTCAGGGATCTATCGCCTTGGCCACCTCTGGTTTCCCAGCAACTGGGTAAGGCCTCGATCGGGTAGTGGTGTAAATAGGTGGTTGGGGTTCCCCCCATCAGCTTGCTGGTGGTCCCCTTCTTTCTGGCTTTGATGGCGGGTTCTGCCTGTCAGGGATTGGATAGGTCCCGAGTGTTGCTTGCACTAAATGCGTCAGGGCATTCCACTATGGTCCTTCTAGGTTTCGTACCTGGGGGAACCCAGGTGGAGTGACGCTTAAAGAAGTAGCCGGTATCCCCTGGTTAGGATTGAGGGGCAACCCTCTCTCCGAAGGGTTGCTTCGGCAGCCGGTGAGCCTGATGACCTTATGTCATCCACCTTAAGTCATGGTGTGCCAAAGGTCGGTGCGTATGCTTCGGCCTACATCATGGGGCCCGGGTATGTTTGATTATAGGTACCGGGTTTGCAGTCAGGGAGCTTCTGGCTCTTATGAAAAAATGCGAAAATGCGAATACCATTAACCACAAATCAAGGACCAATATGACATTAAATTCCAGTAACTTTAACCATAGATAGAACCATATAGAACCATAGAACATAGTTCCTTAGTAGATTTCCCATTCTTATGGAACAGCTGAAGCCAATTTTATTGTTAGTTCTGTCCGGTTTTCTGTAGATGTCGTATTTTGTTTACAATTTGTTTCTATTATTTTAGTATTGGTTTCTCATTATTTGTGTCTATTTCTTTAACTAAGCCAAACTAAATCAACGCCCTTGGCCTTGGATAGTACTGAATTTGTGATCAATGCTACATCACTGTCTTAAGCCAATCAACAGTCAAATGCTATAACTCGAACAGCTGTCGCTATCGCTTGCTGGTCTCATTTTCGTGCTGTCACTTTCCATTCTTCCACTCAATTTTTTTTATTCGTCTTTCCACACTCATCCTTCTGCTCCTGCTGTGTACTTCGCAATCGTAATTGGTTTTAATTATTGTTTCAAAATTTCTGTCTTGTCATCGTACCCGTACGCCACTAACTATTACGTCTAGAACAAACATTACGGATGGAACTTATTAAGAAGGCCTAAGTTAATTTTCTCGAGCGAACCCCTTAAGTTTAGGTTAAGAAACAATCGTAAACAATGGCTCCCAACTTGAGCAAGTATGTTACTCCAAAATCTGTAGCTGGCGCCGCAACTGTATCATTTATTTTATGGCTCATATCTCAGAAAAGAAAATCAAAACCAACTAAACTTAGGTAAGCACTTTGCTTATTTTTACACTAGTTGTCTTGTTTAAGATAGTGATATTTGGGGTAGGCCTAGGCTAGGTCTATTTTGGGTTATTAGGCTATCTATATATATAATTCTGTAAGACCAAATTTTTACCAGAAAATTGTGGACGTCTGGTAAGTCGCAGAAAAGTGGGAGAGGTCTTGAATTAAAGGTCTTGACCCCAGGGACTCGGGAAAAATAGCAGAATTTCCATAAAGTTACCAGAAAACGAGATATATTGTAAAATATCCACCATAAGAAATGCATGGGGACTGAAATCGTCTGCATTCTATCACCTGTTATTTATTTGCAATGTTTACATTTATTCCGAAAGTCAATGTTGGTAAATAATGTTTCAAAATGAATTGTGTTTAATCTTTTTGTTTTCCGTTTTTATAATGAGTGAAGTAACTATACAGGATAGGGGGGAAGACCTGCAAGACGTGGAAGAGTGTCCAGGTATTCAACAGACTTAAGAAATGCAAAAGAGAATGTCATGTAGGGCCTAACTGTGAAAGAAATCTAGAAGCTGTTTTACAACCTGTCTTTAGAAGAACGCTGGAAAATGAGTTGAGTGTTGTTTCTCACAATCTAGGCCCTCCAAAGCACTTGCATGCATTGTGGCGCATTTCACTTCGCAGAGGAGGCCACAAGTGGACATTTCAACGCATGTTGCCACAATGGACATGCCACAACCGTAAATGACGAACTAAAAGAACTGCTTTTACATGATTCGAACTTCATAAAAAACATAAGGCAATACAACAGTGCAATGGCTTTATATATTTCTGACTTACTACCGCGAAATGGGGACTTGCCTTCATAATAATTAATAATAATTTTAACCTTTACATTTGGTTCTCAAAATGGAAACTATAACAGAATGCGTTAGATTACAAAACAAATCTTCAATTTTAAACTAGAAAAGATATGCAATGTTTGGCTGTATGATTTCAGCTCTGATTCGTCGTTCTCCGGGCTCAGGCCAAACCGTGTGCACGTTTGTTAATATGTTGTGTTATTGATTTAATCATTATTTTACAATTGTATTTCATTGACACATCATACGACTCCAACGGAAGGAAAACCAATATATAAAACAAGAAACACTGTTAATTTTAAGTAACATAAAATTGATAATTTTAAAAACATATTTAGAGTATTTGTCTTTTTATATATGGTTTTTGTTATTGTAGTCTAAATTAGTGGCTATGGCCCCTACAGGCCACTAGTTTACTATAAATGCCTCCAAACGAATTCTTAATTTCGATATCTAACTTTCTAGTTTTTTACCTCCTGAATTTAAACATACCATTATTTTTCACAGCAAAAGAATATTACTAATTTAGGCTGCACTTTACTTGACGTCCTACACTCATTCGATTGTTTTTTTTTTCGATTCGATTGTTTTTGATATATCGGTTATATAGGTTAACCTTACCTAACTATCCAAACGATATATCGAATGAAGCAATCGATATATTGATCGATATTTACATTCGAATGAGTGTAGGACGTCAAGTAAAGTGCAGCCCTAATTTATTTCCAAAATGCGGTATTTATTCCGTATAGGTGCCTCCAAACAAATTTTTAATTTTGATATCTTGCTTTATAGTTTTTTACCTCCTGAATCCAAATATACCATTATTGTTCACCGCTGATGAATATTTCTCAAGATATCGCCGTAAAAACATACCGTGCTTAACATTACAATAAACAAGATAGGATGGATAACATTTCAAGTGATTCTGTAGTCAAATAACTTAATGTTTTTTATAATAGGAATTTCGTCACATTATGGAGATATAGATGGACTGGTGGACTAATTACATGTAGTTCTTATTTAGGCATGTCAGGGTGATAGGTCGTGCTTTATGTGAATTGGTGACTGCATTAAGTCCTTTGAAGGTAGGTTAGATTAGGTAAGTTAAAGTTTAGGTTATAATGTATCGAGTTGTTAGTTTATGTTGCCTGCAGACTGTTTTTATAAAATTAAAATCCTGAGAAAAACAAATCAAATTACTTTTTCAAAAATGCTTGCATTTTTGAATAGGCCTAAGAATAGTGTTTTGGAGTGTTTGTATAAGGATTTTGGGTACAGTTTCTTAACTGGGCTATGCTAATATCGGTTGAAACTATCGAATTGAAAATATTGATTAATAAACAATATTTTTAAATATTTCTATTATAAAATTAAACTATCATAACCTAACCTAACCAACCAAACTTGCTGATGGTGAAAAAATCGCATGAAGGTTTACTAATCGAATCGATAGTTTCAATCGATATTAGCATAGCCCAGTTAAGAAACTGTACCCAGGGTTTTAACTTAATTGTACAGAAACAGTCTCTAGGTAAGTAGCCTAACCTAAACCAACAAAACTCGATTTACTAAAACCTAAACTTTTCCGTACCTAATCCAACTTACCTTCGAAGGACTTAATAGGCCTACAGTAATCACGAATTTGCATAAAGCCTGTCCGACCACTCTGACATACCTTTTCTGACATCAAAGGAGTTTGCTGACGTTCTAGAAGTTTGGCTCAGTTAGGTTATGTTAGAACAGCACCATTTAAAATTTTACTAGGCCTAGATAATCTAATTTTATTAATAGGTAAATTTCCTATCAGGATTAACTTCTTAAGTATGGTATTCCACTTGTAAATGTTGTTTGCCTTAACTTAGGGCCTATACCTTGGTTCACTGTAGGCCTACATTTTAACAGCTATATCTTCAGTAGGCCTAATACGGTAAGTAATTAATTTGCTACGAAAAATAATGTTATATTTGGATTCAGAAGGTTAAAAACGTACTTCTTACCTATAGGTAAAGTGAGATATAAAAATTAAAAATTTGTTTGGAGGCACACCTATACTAAATAAGTTAGGCTAAGTTAATTATTATCCTTTTTTGTAACAAATTATTTAATTCTCTTAGACTTAAATAGGCCTATTTAAATATTTCTGTGTCCTTTGATAAATCAATAAATAACAGTTTGGCACAAGTAAGAACAGCTAATATACAGCTAATATAGCTAATATACAAGCTAACTTATAATTATAGTATTTTTAATCTCACATTTAAAGCGGTAATCCCTAACTTACCTGTGCCTCAGACTGTTTGTGGTCCTCTTCACCGTAAGTCTTAGAGTGTTCGGTGTAAGTATGTGTGTGATTGTGTGTTATGGGTATGTTTGTTTTGGGGCATATCTTTATGGAGAGCAGTGTCCTCACTAAAGAACTCATAATCATCTAATTTATAGTAAGGTTTTTGAATCAGATATCCTTTGAGTGTTTTAAGATTTTTGGAAATGTTATCAGTTTTATATGTTTTGGGAGACAAGTTTGACTTGTTAGTCTATCTAAACCCTTACTTTAAGACATACAATGTGTTTTCATAAGACACTTATTTGACACTCCACCTCATAGTTTTTTAAACTTTTTATAATCCATACATTTCCAGACATGGCTATCGGAACTTTCATTTACGACCTTCAAGGTTATAATAATGACCTAAGGCCGCTTGCCTTAAAAGTGTTTGAGTAGGCCTAAGTTACTCTGTACAGTAAGATCAGATACTTGAATTAGAAGGATATGGCATATGTGGCTCATTACTCTGCTGGATGAAGAGTTACCTCACAGGTCGCATCCTCATTGTTAAAGGTGACGGAGGCCTGTCTCCCCCTTTCTCAGTCACTTCGGGAGTGCCTCAAGGCTCTCACCTTGGCCCACTGCTGTTCAATCTGTTCGTCAATGACATCTGCAATTTGATTTCAACAAAGTCCCTTCTGTTTGCTGATGACAAAGATTTTCAACAAAATCACTTCGACAGATAACCAAGAAGAACTCCAACTCTCGCTCAACACCATTAGCACCTGGTGTAAATTGAATGCTATGGAGCTCAACATCCCGAAATGTGTGGTCATGTTCTTCAGTCGAAGTAGCGTGGTGCATGAAAATGTTTATTGCATTGATGGCAGCAGTCTTAGTGTGGTCCAGAGAATCAAGGATCTTGGTGTGATTACCACTCCCTCCCTTTGCCCTCTTGAACATTTGGTGTATTTGTCTTCTAGAGTATCCTCTCTGCTGGGTTTTATCTACCGCTCTACGAGACCCCTTAAATCTCCTTTGACATTAGTCACCCTGTACAAGTCACTAGCACGGCCAATTTTAGAATACTGCTCCGTCATTTGGTCTCCATATCAAGTAGGCCACATGGACATCCTAAACAGAATCCAGACACGTTTCCTCAGACTGCTAGGTCTTAAACTTGGATTCCCCTTCCTGCAAGCACCAGTGACAGCCCTGGCCCAACAGTTTGATATACAACCTCTTCCAGTGAGACGACGGGTCTTTGACATCATCTTCTTGTATAAACTGGTATATGGAATCATTGATTGTCCTGAGTTATTAAACAACATCGACCTCACCATTCCCAGGGGCACTAGATCAAGAGCAGTCTTGACAAGGAGATACCAGCCGACTAACTATGCTCGTAACCACGGCATCTCTAGACTCCTGAGAACCACGAAGATGTGTCTTCTCGTCTCGACTTCTTCGGGCCATCACCAGCTTCATTCAAGCGAGACGTCCGGAGGCTACTCCACTAAAGTGACCTCGCTACAGTGTTCTGGTCATGAAACGGTGTTGTGTTTTGTTATTGGTGGCGCCTTTAAAGGGTCACAACCACATTGTGTGGCGGGGGGTTGTTTCGATTTATCTGCTGTTTGCATCAGAGTCTATCTTTTGTTATCTATTTTATAAATTTTATCACTGTTGCCTACTTCATTCATTATCACTGTTATCTATTTCTAGTCTGTTATTGTTATCACTATTACTCGTTTCCGTATTGCATCTATCACCACTGTCAGTATTGTTGCCAATTGTTATTGTTAACTAGTTATAGATTATTTATCGCCAAGCATGTTATATATTTTATTTGTTATTGTTACCTATAGTTATAGTCTGTTATTCGTTGAGCATGTTACTTAATTATTATGATTACCTAGATAATTCAACTTTCACTCTTCAATTGTTATCATAACTGCATGTCATTTTCATTGAACATGTTTTTCATCCTTTCATTTTAATCTTTGCATGTATCACTGATATATCTGTACAACATTATCAGCATGTAATAAGCATCTTGTCGCATGTATCACAATGTAAAGCAATTGTAAAAAATGGTGTTTGCCGTAAAAATAAATAAATAAAAGATACCTCTCAATAAAAATGCCACTGATGTAGGCAACAAGAACTAATAACTTACGTTATGCCAATTAGTTTATGCTAATTATTCAAAGATTGTAATTCTAAACATTTAAACAACCAAAACAAATTATGAAGCCTTTTCCTATTACTGTGGAACGTTATTATAAAAGACAAAATAGGCCTTGTTATTTTTATTTGGGTTTTTTTTTGTCCTAAGGACGCTAGGCACGAGCCTGGGATTGTTTTTCACATTACTTCAGGCTAGACCTACGAGTTGCGGCATTATCACAGGCCTACCTGCAATTTGACCTCAAATAGTTTATTGTAAATTACCTTAAAATTGAATTGACATATCACTGTTTTCAGAAAACCGCAAGTTCCTGATATTCAGTATCTTATTGGAGATGTAAGTATAAACTTGACTAATTTGCCTGAAACTAAATAAAAAGTTGTAAAAAATGTTTAACTACTGTGTAGTATATAATCATATTATCTTAATTTACTGTAAACCTCAGCTTTAAACACCCATAGCATATTATTATATTGCATGATTTGCAATATTTTAAAGAGGCTGATTAAAATGGTTGTGGGGCTCGCCCATTCATTTGGTTGCTGGTTCCATCCTAAAAAAGTTAGGTCGGCCTAGTTAGCTTTTTGTTGTTGTTTTGAAATTTGTCACTGGAATATTTACAACCATAGTACATCACTGATTCTACATTACGGTCAATCTTCAGTTAAAAATTCACATGCATGTGTGAGGCTGTCTTAAAACATTAATTCTATTGATCAATTAATTCCTCCTAAGTTACGTTACTTAGGAAAATAGTCACGTTTAAGAGCATGTAATTGGGCAGACCGATTCCCATTGTATATTCAAAAGTTCAGTATAATCTCAAAACACATACAGTAAGGATAGAATTTAGTTAATTTTGTTTACAGAAAACTCCAACTCCGACCAAAAAAGCTCAAGTGGACGCAGTTTTCTTTGCTCAACTTAGGAAGATCCTCTCAATATGCGTCCGAGGCGTGTTTACAGCGGAGACGGGCTTCTTGGTGCTCGTTGCGTTCTCTCTAATGGCACGGTCCATGTGTGACATTTGGATGATACAGAACCACACTGCAGCTGAAAAGTATGTTATCTATCATTCAGTATTATTTTTGTAAAATTTACTTTTTATCAAATTAGATTGGTAGGCCTACTGTAATTTTTATTACTATGGCGTACAAATTACTGGAATCAGGCTGCAATGGTTGTGCATTATGTTTTGAGGATATTCACTATTTTCACAAAAGGATTATTTATTGTGATTGATTTAAAACCGATTTACTTATAGACATCTAAGGCATAATAAAAATACTGAAATGCTGTTTTGTTTGCAAAGTTAAAATCATGGTCAATTTTGAAATAAATCAATAATAGCATCGTCTACAAAAAACTTCGATACAGTACTTAAGTTGAAAACTTAACCGTAACATAGGTTCTGAAAATATAAAATCAAGAAAAAAGGTTAGTCTTGTTTTATGATTGGGTACTATCCTCTATTTGGGTATTCTTGTTCGCAATTTTTACCATGAGATTTTGACAAGACATTTATAAGTTTCTTATTAGGACTACCCATCGCAATTAATTGGCCAAGTCAAACCTTATTGTACTCATGCTGAAACCAGTTCTGCTTCTTTCATAATTAAGAGCTTTAGACAACTACCAAACATCAGATAAAGAGTGTCCTGAAAAGTAGAAAAAATAAAAATATGAACTTGCAAAGAAAAGTATTAACCAACTAGCCGAATGCTTGATTCATGTGACCTTGAGGTGAGATATATTATTTACTTAGATTTGGCAATACTAATCCTGCTAGCATCTAAATACAGATTCAGATTTCTAACACCAACTCAAGGTCAAACTTGTGATTTAACTCCAAATCACCATCCTGGCCTAGAGCCTTTCCTTTAACAACACTAACCCCCAAGGTCATACTTTACGTATTTTGTAATCAAACTGTTGTTTCAATGGGTAGCTTCCTTTGTTATGAGTGTTTCAATTCAGTCTGTTTCTCTTAGAAGAAGCAAACAAGATCTGGTAAACAAGCAATTAGATTCAACATAATGCACCAATTTTATCTGTACTCAACTTGTAGGAGTCTTTTACCTGTGACGACCATAATAAACTGTGTCATTTCAATCAGTTAAAACTAATATTATATCTAGAAACTATTATTTATGTGAAAATAAAATGTTACATATCTGTGTAGAATGCAGTGCTAAACTACTTGTGATTGAGTATGATATTTTAAAGTGACAATGTCATGTCATTCAATTGGTTTACCATAAATGCATTCAGCCATTAATTCACTTATTCCAAAAGTATGTATCCCAATTTCAACAGCATGTATTTGTAGACTACATCAAGTGTGCACGACTAGAAAATCAAAAATGCTTGACGATAGTCCTCCTAGTATTTAAAAATTAAAGGGAGCGAGCTTGTCAAATGGTAGTTTGCAGGACTGAGGTCCCGGGCTCAAATCCCGCCAAATCACCTATGGATTTTATTTAAGTGAATGTCGCAAGTCGCGACCCCTAGGTCTAGCCTTAAGTGATGTGACGTCCTAGGACAAAAAAGTGATTAAAAATGCAGCTTGTTTCAAGGGAGAAAACAATCAATTTCCTCAAGTGATTTGTGTTTAAAACAATGATTAAATTTCTAGTTTTTTAACTTCTCTATTATGGATTTTAACTGAGTTGTATAAAAGTAATGGATCTTCCGTATGTGTATGCCTTCTGGATTACTTCACAACTAATTACAATCAGTTAAAAGTAATGGAATTTATGTATGAGGCAGTATCTGTTAATGATAAGGATAATGTAGACTCTTGAGTAAATCCCATGGTTCAAGTAGAACTACATTCTGACCATCATGCTTGGTTGGTTCTTCTAATTTGGCTAATTTAAGTATTCATCAATACTTTAGTAGAATTTCTTTTATAGACAACTTTTCAATTCATCCTTGTATGATTATTTTTTTGTGATTTAAGATGTATTTTGGCAGTTTTGTTTAACTTGACCACAGTCAAGTGGGGTACCTACTTGCCAATGTGGAATTTATACTAGCACAATTTATAACAGTTACATAGTTCTGATTGACAGTGTGGTCAGCTCAAATAATTATGCTGTTAGAAAATAAATAAAAATGCTTACAGATACATACGTTAAGCTAATCTTAGAAATCTGATGTCAATGAGCTTTAAACTGGACTGACAATTAACAGGGATTTTGCCAAACTGAAGAATAACCAACTATAAGGAGTCTGCTGTACTTAATAGTAGTTTTCATCACTAGGAGCGAAAGTTGCTCTTTTTGGTACGCAATCGGGCTTTACGATTACGATTAAGTACCAAAAAGACACTTTCACTCCTAGTGAAGAACGACTATTTTCATCATACTGTGGAAATAACCTTCTAATCATTACAAAATTAGAACACATGATTTGAGGTTATTCGAAGTCCGCTCAGTGTTTATAATTACATTTCTGTTGATTACTAACATAACTTTTAATATCGTGTGATTAGCAGCGTTTTCATAATGCACTGATACAATTTTGAGATTAGCGAACTGAAAAATTTACCATATATTTTTTCTGTTCCCTATTTTGAAGTTACCCGAAACAATGACGATTTAGATGACTAAAAACTACTTACTGCTTTCCGGACAGTATGATGAAAATTTATTTTTAACACATGTAATATTGGAGGTAGTAACAAATAATTTATTCTTTTAATGTTTTCAGTGCCATTGTTACAATGAACAAAAACTTATTCAAGAAACACATGACAGAATTTTTCATCGCAATGCCAGTGGTAAGTCCTATTTCTAAGGAAGTTGTAAAACAGTAGACAATATTTGTAGTTAAGCTTGTACAATGAACTACCCTTGTAATCTAAAATTATTTTATAAGTAAAAATAAAATAAAAAAAATAGTAAATGAAGCTTACTACCTGTCATAAAATGTGTGAAATAACTTTATACTGTAATTTAAACATGTATTACTTCTATGATTTATTTGAATTACTTTTTCAACAAAATATTTTAACTTTTGTATCAATATGAAATATTACCTCTTTGGGAGGATTAAAATAGGTCTTTTCCCAATTATGTAAACATAAAAAGTAAAAGCCCTCACTCATTCATTCCTCATTCATCCCTATACTCAGTTCAAAAAAATTAGGCGGCTTTAGGGGAAGAAATCTATCCCCTCCAATTGATCCGATCTTAAAAACAATAGCTCAACAGCTGAGGTTTGTCAAAACACGTCAGTCAGCCATAACATTTATATATTAACAAAAAATAGTAGTGGGGAAACTTTCCCACAAACCGCCTAAATTTTGTTAACGGACTATATTTATCCAACTTCCAGTCTAGCTGGAGGGCTAAAATTTGGTACGGTATACTTATTATTCAGGTTAAAAATACAAAAGTTAGTTTTCATAATGATTTTACCCAAAGCTTGCGGCCTAGAAGTCCTGAAAGTTCCGATGTTATTCTTGTGGACATTCAATTTCTAAGCTACATATTTGTTTATCTAACACCATCTGTTTTAAACTTTGTTTTAATACCATCTGCTATGAAATATTTTTTCTCGTTTATTTTTATCAAGATTGAGATATTCTGGGTTTAGGCTACCAATTTTTGTAAAACAATTACTTCTTAAGTGTTGTGTGCTTTAATACTTTAATACTTTTCAATGAAATGGCGACTATACAAAGTAGGTATTTTAAGCCAAGTAGGAATGGAGATGAGTGTAGGACGAGTGGCGCGATCTTGTAGTCTTGTTAGTGACTAAGGCCGACTTATTCCTTAGTCACAGCTGTTGGCTACTATGCGTTGAATTACTTCTATTTGACACTACAGCTTATTTTTGTTGGGTAGTTCTATTTTTGTGGCTACATACTTTACTAAAACTTTGATTGTGACAATCGATATAGAGGGTTTCTGTTTTGATTCATTTGATTTTAGTTATCGTTCGAATCGATGCTTTTTTTCCTCCTTAAAAGGAAAAAGGTTCATGGCTTCTTCATGCAATCGGATATTTGATTTATTTTTTTGCTAGAGCTGGCTGTGTGTAATGTGCTACTGGTTATTGTTTTAGACTTTTTTTCTACACAATTTTGAATTGCAATACCTCATTCATTGTAGGACTAGTTAGACATTAGAAGTTTCAATTTTTCACTACCGTACGCTAATACATCATTATAATGTTGTGTTTCAGATTTCTCTGGTGAACAACGTTCTCAAGGTAATTATGTTTCACATGGTTAAGTAATTGATCGTTTGATAGTGTAATCACTCTCACTCAGGATCATTCACAGTCCTTGACAGTTATTTATTTATCGACAGCAATACACCAATTTACATAAGATCATTATACATATTTACATGGAAGGACATAAGGGTGTATTAAAATCTATATATATATAATATTTACGTATTTATGGAGGTGTTATTTACTAATATCTCTAAATCTAATTGAAATTAGAATTTTGTCTTTATAGTGCTTGGATTTAGGTATGGTTTTCATGTTTTCAACCATAACACAACATTTTCAAAATCCATTCTGTAACCCTTTGCCCTCGAATGGCCTGTAGTGCTGGCCATTATTTTCATTCACAAAAAAAACATGTGAGCCTCTAATGCTAGGTAGCATTAGGTACTAATGCTGGTAGCTTTTTAGTAATTCTTATCAAAGTACTTTGGTGTTTTATAAGAATAGGGCCACAGCTGTTTCTGAGTCAGCTTGTCATTGTTCACACTGCGCCATGCCTCTCAGGTTGTATGGCTAGCATTGCTGGCAATTGTTGTTTCTCTGTTAGGTTGGTCACCATTCTGCCAACCCTGTTACATCAGCTTGTATCAAGTATTTTGTTATTTTACAGTCAAAATGACGTAACACAACCTTGCAAACTAAAATGTTTATATTCTGTGAATCGGGATACAGTACTATCTCTGTTTAGTGCTGCAATCTACCGGAGGATTCCTAAAAATGTTTTAAAAAAATATGTTGGATGGCCACCTATGCTGGCCGGACAAGCTGAGGGGGAAATTAGTAGGGGCCATCAGTGATGGCCGTACGACCTGAGAGGCTTAGGGCCGCATAAACATGACAAGCTGATATAGAACGTAACCATGTCCAGCAGGGCTGGCCATTCGAGTTGAGAGGAACTTTGCTAAAATGGTTTTGAGACTGCAGAGTTAATGCTGTTCTCATGAGAGAAATATTTCTGTTTTTGATCACAAATTATGTTAAAAATAAACTTAAAAAAGATTATGAATAACTAGTAATTTGTAACGATCTGATGTTTGTAATTCTTTGCAGTGGGGAATTGGAGAACTCAAGTTGCGTTTGAGAACGAGATTGACACACCATCTCTACGGCGAATATTTAAAGTGAGTCAAATCTAGACTTTTAAGTTACAGTACTTTAACAATTAATTGACGTTTTTATAATTCATGGGGTTTTGGACTGTAAAACTGTTATGATAAAATTTCTGCATATAATATCAGGTTATGTTTTTAGGAAAAAGCATTTGGCTTGGATTGAATAAATAAATATAGGATGGAGAGGACACAGCTAACTCACCTGATGAAAGGTTGCAGATGAGTCAAAGAACACATAAAATCACACACACATATATACTTAATATTTCGCCTCTTTCAGAGGCTTCTTCAGAAGTAGGCCTAGATGGTAGTTACAAAACAACAACAGTTGTTTTGTAACTACCATCTAGGCCTACTTCTGAAGAAGCCTCTGAAAGAGGCGAAATATTAAGTATATTATGTGTGTGTGATTTTATGTGTTCTTTGACTCATCTGCAACCTTTCATCAGGTGAGTTAGCTGTGTCCTCTCCATCCTATATTTATTTATGCATATAATATCAGTATCTCTGCACCCAGGAAATTAAACATTCAGGTTTATATTTGGCAAAACAGCTAATAAATTTGATTGTTACTTTTTTGATTGTTAATTTGTCTGATTGTTGCTAAGTGGTGATCTTGTTATATGAAATAAATTTATATACTACCCAAAAAAAGTGGATTGTCAGAGGTAACCAAATATCTTACAAACGCCCAGAGACCCTCTCAGATCATTCTTAAAATTTTTCTCACCTGAGAAATAATATGATAATGCAGTCGATCACTTTTGCAACATCTGGCTGAAATTGACATTTATATGTTTATATGTTTGAAAAGTAATCATTTTGTGGCCACATTTATGTTGATTGATTAGGTATAAGTGATATGACGTAATCAGTGTGTCTATAGCTCCAAAATATCCCCGATATCCCGCAAAAGTCCCAAATATTGAAATTTTGTTCTGGATATTTATGTAAACTCACCGATTTTTAAATTTTTTCCATTAGTTGTCAATTGTAGATGTTTTATATTTTAAATTGAGCAATAAATTTATACTTATACTTTATACTTTCTTATGAAATGGCGACCGTCTGAACCAAAGGATATTTTTATGCTAACTGTGTTAAGTTTTTACGTGGAGATTTTGAGCATCATAAGAGAGGTTAGGGGTTGCTCAGAGCTTAGCTGTTTACTAATTTCAATTTGGTTTACAGTGTGTCTTTAGTAACGTGCAAATATTTCACTATTACATAGGTAATTGTCACCAACATTTTGTTACGCAAAATGTCTCTCTAACCGTTTTACCATAAGGTAGGTTGCTGACATTTTTGTTGTTTCTAATTGAAATTTGTTTTACAGTTTGTCTTTGTTGTAACTTTTAACATGTAATTATTTGGTTATATTTTACTGTGACGTGTAAATACACAGAGAAGAAGGTACAGAAAAATCATTCAATGGTACACTTAGGTATGGTACTGGTACACGTCTAGGGCAAAGTACAAAACGGCCCCCCTCAACCTCATGTAGTCTACTACAATGCCAACGGTGGGGAGGTTGGCCATAATTTATAACATGGCAGCCGCTGTAGACACCATCATAACCAATAATGTTCATAATCTGTTTCTGATGTTTATTCCTCTGGTTATTCCTGGGTGTTGTCATTGCCTCAACCTCCTCCGTTAAAGACCATCTCCTCCAGTTCCTCTTCCTCCTCCATTTACCATCTCAATTTTATATTCTCTACGTCCTTCTTGATCTAATTTATCCACCTTCGTCTTCGTCTTCTTGTCAGTATACTTCCCTCTATCACTAACTTTGTTTTCTTAATGATTTTCTCGTCACAGATTCTTCCCACATGTCCAAACCATCTCAGTCTCACTTTTTTGTTTGACGGTTCACCAAATCTAAGATCTCTGTTGTAGGGGGTTCACATATTACAAAATGGCCAACCTGGACACAAGAATAGCCAACGCAGATCAGCTGTTGACTACGGATGTTGAGAAGTTCTGCGACATGTTCGCTGACCTTTACTCCAACATATGTAAGCCAACACTGGACATCGTCATATACGTGTGGCAGCTGACGGCTAGTTTAGGTGAGTCAAACGAGGTATATTACATTTAGCTTGTTTCTTTCTGCCATTAACTCATAGACGTAGAAACATTTTATATACGGTATTTCTCTAGTAATAAATATTTTAGATTATGTTTTTTGTCGTTTATCATGTATTTCAACACTCAACGCTACACTTGTCAGTACAACACCCTAGCCAACGGAGCTACAAGGCTACCATCGGCTGACTAGGTTAAGTGCCATTTTGACACTAGCGCTCGCAGGTTGGATTAGACGAACAATTTAAGAGCCAACCGATTAGCATTACCGCTATCTAGCGCTGTTGAAGCCGAATGTTTGTTAGGTTATTGAATTAATTTCCAAATGTATTTAATGTAATTAATGAAAATTTTGTAAAACAATAATGGCTAATTATTATGTCACACAAAAATCACATTACACTTGAATGTGGGGAAATACAGTAGACTCCCTCTAGTTCGGCCACCTCGGGACTAGACCACTGGCCGGACTACAAAACGGCCAGACTCACCGGATGTAGTGCATTTTACATAATCAAAATACAAATATTAGTATTGCGCAATCGTGATATGTTAAGTCATTAACCTTGGTTCAGTAATAAAAACTGTAACGTTTAAAATCACGCTTACTCAAGCAAAACAAAAATTACACTACACTGTACGTACAGCAATAAATCACGTAAAGAACAGAACATTAGAAAGTCTAGTACTGCAAGCTACTGCTACCGTAGTCAGCATAGGCTACTACTACATGTTGTTTCAGAACATAAGAATGTTGATAAAAACATTAGATAACTCATAAAACAGCATGAAATCATAGTAGACTACTTAGTCTTAAAGGTAATAACAACAGTCCTAAAATAGGATAATGATAACAATGGATGACGTAAAACACCGCTTATTCTTTCTTCTTTGTTCTTCTATACTTTCTTTGGTTTCTCGTCATCCACACATTCAACAAGTTACCATGGTTACTAATCATCCAATCACAAACTGTTGTGAGATAGCAAGCGCACAGCAGACATCAGTTGTGTCTTGTGTAAAGAGCAGATGATTGTCAGTTGTCAGTGCAAGCGGATAGCTTGACCTTGAAGCTAACGATGGCTATTTCTTTGTTTTGCTATTTGCTTTAATTAATTTTTGTCAAATAAACCATGGTGTTTCAAAGACAATAATGGGGGAACCTACCGCATAAAAAAATGGTCCAAAATATTTAATTATACACTGCATTTCAAAATATTAGACTGAAGAAAAACTATTTATAAAATGTTCTTGGTATTTTTGAGGTTATGCAACATAGTTTTACATAGGAAATATGCAACAACTCACCCATAGAAGCACCCGTCAACTAAACTGACATAAATTGTTTACTTCTATGGCCGGAAACTACATTCAAGTTGAATCCTGTCGAAGGTCATTCGCCCGTGACGATGTGACTTTGTCCCCCTGAGACCCGGCCGGACCATCCGGCGACCGATCCAACCGAAGCCGAACTAGAGGGAGTCTATTGTACAATGAAATTCTTATCACACATAAATTAAAATTCTTAACTAAATAAACAATAAATTGAAACTTAATAGTAAATGTTATATAAGAAACCAATAGAATGCTTACTGTGACTGTGCAGTGCAAGTTGTGTTTTGGCACTTGCACTGTAAAACCATAAACACCCCAAGCTCTGAAAGATGTTGATGGGGGTTTTGATAAACATGGCGGGATCTCTAACAATATTGCTTTACAAATTATGTATTCTGTTTTTAAGGTGGAACAACGCCTAGTGTTATGATCGGTTATCTGCTGGTGGCTGGTTCGTTCCTGACGTGGCTGCGTCGCCCTGCGGGTCGTATGACTGTGACCGAGCAGAAACTGGAAGGAGAGTTCCGCTTTATCAACTCCCGTCTAATCGCCAACTCTGAGGAGATTGCTTTTTACAATGGTAACAACAGGGAAAAACTTACCGTACTGGCGGCATTCCAGAAACTTGTAAGTTTGTTTTGATTTTATCTCATGTGTCCTTTTATGTTCAAATTAGTTTGAAGGAATCTATTGATCATAAATTTTGCATTTTTGTATTTTTTTCCCTTTATTATTACATTTTGATCAAGAGGTCCATCAACCTTTTTAATTTACAATAAGACAGGTCTTGTAGGTTCCAGGCCTGTGTTAACAAAGAAACAACACCCTGTATCAATGTATAGATTTTACTAAATATTTTTTTCTTCTCTGTCTATGTGTATGTAGAAGAGAATAGTTTGATTCTTGAAATCTACTTTAGAAACAGAAAGGAATTCGTTGCACCATTTATATTTTTGAAATGATTGCTTTGATTCTATGAGCACAATTTTATGATGTTGCGGGATAAAATTGTAATTTTTTATAATTTTAATCCAAGTAAATATAAATATAGGAAATGTAAACATTATGTTTGGTATAATGTGGTGAAGCAGTCCAGTAAACCTACTTCCTTAAACCCCATCTTACTACAACCTTGGCTTATTTATCTTCAACCTAATATCATCAAGGACATTTAGAATCTCACCTATATTTCATCATATTACATGAAAAGAAAAGTATGTTTAACATTCTATGTTTTACTCCTTAATGTAGAATTAAACGTCTGACTTATATAATGCTGACTTTATTACTATTTCCAGACAAATCATCTCAGAAAATTTTTGGAATTCAAAGCACTGATGGGAACTATTGACAACATTGTTGCCAAATGTAAGTTTTACTCAAGATTTTCATTACCTACTAAGGTCCTTATTACCTACAAGTCCTTAGAGCCTAGACGTTTTAACTCATTTAAAACAATTAAAGGACTACAAAGAAAATTTCTAATCCCACAGTATACTAGATATATAAATTATAAATTACAATCACTCTGGTTGGTGTTAGAAAAACCATTTTGGATGATAAATAACTTTTGAGCAGCTGTTTGAAATGTAAGAAATTAACATTGCTCTAATGGCGGGCAAATCCAAGATCGCCGTTAGCTTCCATGGACTCCCTTGGAGAACAATTCAATGAGAGGTTATAAACGAAAACATAACCTCTCTTGCAAGTTATGGGTAGTGATTTTTAGTTATTAAGAAACAGTCGTAGGTAAAGTAGTGTACGCAACTCATGTAATGAGGCTTTAAGACACTCATAGAAGTTTAAAAGGCACTCGCCAAGGCTCGTACCTGAAATTTTCTGCTTGTGTCTTAAAAGACTATCTTTACTTGATTGTTACTTAAACAACTATTCCTAAATCTCCTCGAACATAAAGTGTGATGTAGGCCTATGTGGTCCTGTTAGAGCTTTTTCAACAGTAATTTCTAATTACTGTCTAAGTTATGTAGGCGATTTATGCATTTTTTTACAATACGCAAAGTAATTTAACAGCACATGAGAACCAAGAAGCAAGATTTAACTGTGTCATGTAGACAAATTGTTTAACTAAACAGCTGATTTAATTGTCAAAATGTTTACTTCATATAGAGAAACATAACAAAATAGTTCATAACCTACATGCCTTGTTAATGTAAAAACTGATGACTGATTTATTAGTTGACTTACTCCCCTTAGTTACAAGTTTAAATCTTAAAACTAAATAAAAGCTAAAAGAACTCTCTTTTTCAGATTTTGCAACCATTATTGGATTTGTTGCTGTCAGTTTGCCCTTCTTGAGCACAAGTGGTTGGCTGGCGTCTAGCAGCAAAGACCAGAGGTTCAAGGTTTGTTAGCAATTTGATTATATTATGACAAGCCAATAATTATTAAGAATAATATGATATTCAACACAAACTATTATCCGGAATGGTCTGAATTTATGGCATGATCTAAGATACTGGAAAATTCATAGCTTTGATTGTTCTTAAAGTAAATTTAGGAAAGTATTTTTAAATTTAAATTAGAATAACGATTCTGGTTGTTATTGTGATCCCGATTCTGATTGTTGTGATCCACAAAACATGGCCTATCATATAAATTAGGTTCTTATCCATCTCAGAACCTCTGTATGAATATGTGCTGTATTCCAGAGTGTCTGAATTAAGTGATAGGCTATTAGTAGTTAAAGGTTAGGCTATTAGCTTAGGATCTGAGATTTCTTGTAACAAATTTGGACCTTTTCCGTTAATTCACTACCAGAATTTTATTTCCACTGTTGTTTTGTGATTCATTTTTAGTAGGGATGGTCAAGTCTCGAAATTTCGGGAAATTTTCGGGAAATTTTAAATCTCGTTACACGAGACGAGATTTCTTTTTGGACGAGATTTTTATCGAGACGAGAATAAATAAAAAAAAAAAATAAATAAAAAATTAAAAACTCCTGCAGAAAGTCAATGCAATACCCGCAATACAGGAGCGTGTTGTAGTTGCGTTTCCTTTGCGAAGGCGTTCTTATTTAATTAATTCTTTAAATGTAAATATTACTTTAATTATTTTAATAATATTACTTTAATAACATTTGAGAAGTTTTGTTAAGTGTAAGCAGTGTGAGGAATGTTTTATCACTATAAAAAGTCAAAACAAGTAACTATTTTATAAAAATTAATATTGCTTTTATTTTATGATTTATTTTATTTTAGGATAAGTTGAACTCTATCCTAACTGATATCACTATGTTTCCTAATCGTAGGCATTTTTAATAAGTTAGGCGTGATTAATAAAAAAATGTTATGCTGATGTTTTTTTAATAAAAGATTGTAAATATTCTTGCCTATTATCATTATTTTTGTATTTAAACAGTCATCTAACAATGTTACAAAATCAGGTAAAAATTTTGAATGTGCATTTCCCGTTGTGTATGAGAAGGGAAATCCCGTCTCGATCTCGTCTCGAAATTTTATGAGAAATAAAAAATCTCGTCTCGTCTCGAACTAAAAATCTAATCTCGTCCATCCCTAATTTTTAGTTTCCGTTTATTCACCACCACTGCATTTGTGTTTGTTTCTCTTTTGTTCAATATTGCTCAAAAGTTGTTCTTTATATAAAATACACTAACCAAACTTAACCTAACCGCCGTGGCGCGCTGTTAGAGGTTTATTTTTTGTATTGAATGTTAGATAACTTCTTTATCAGCATCGTACGTGTTATTCAATTACCTGAAAGCACATTGGAGTCTGATGATGATTGGAGTGTCCAATCCATATCGATCACCACTTACCATCTTTTATATGTACCTATTCACCGTCTGGTGAGTAAACAATATAAGTGTAAATATATTAGCCTATTACAAGTGTTATTTGAGATATTTTTTGTGCTTTCAAATAGAATATTTATCAAGTGGTAGTGAATTAACAGTGGGGGGTGGAATAGTGGAAATAACGGAAAAGGTCCAACAATTTTACTAAACTCCCTAGATAATAACATGTATTCAATGTCTAGAAAATCCCAGACCAGACTCGAGCAAATCCTAAGACTAAATAATTTGTGGCTTGCATGACAAAGGGGCGTAACTATATAGACTTATCAAATGTACTTATGCCCCTTCGTCTTGCAAGTGTCGAATTGTCCAAGATAGTTTAGCCGCTAGACAAGTTATGTGACAAAGCATTCAAATTTAACAAGTCCAATGTCCTGTGTAGCAATACTACTCGTCAGGCAGGATGCTGGTGAAGTTAGCCGAGGCAATTGGTCGTCTAGTGCTGGCAGGCAGAGAGATGACCCAGCTGGCCGGCTTCACTGCGCGAGTCACGGAACTGATGGGCGTGCTGAGCGACATCAACGCTGGCCACTACCAGCGAACTATGGTTGACAATAAATCCAATGCCCTGGGTGAGTCTCGTGCTAAATTTGGTCTCAATTTTCCATTGTTTATTGAATAATATGATACAACAATTCTCCTCCTCATGTCATCAGGTGTGAATTGAGATGTTGATTTATGTTATGTAAGCATTTTTGAAATTATTATTTATTGTGTTTATAGCACTATTTACAAAGTGCAAAAACGGTCTAGAGATAACATAAATCAACAACTCGATTTAATATAACCTAAACTTTACCTTCCTAATCCAACCTAACCTCAAAACACTTAATTACAGTTACGAATCCACATAACACCCAACCTACCTTCCTCACATGTCTAAACTACTGATTAAGTAGTTCATAATCAACGTTCAGTTGGATCTATAAATGCCTCTACCTCTTTATCCTCTTTGTTCAAACATAATGTTTGTCATCTTAGGTTTCTTCCTCATGAACGATTGAAAGAATCGTCTAGTGAAGACTCACTAGACTATTCTTTCAATCGTTCATGTTTGTGTTAGTCAATTCACAATAATGGTGACAGAGACAAGCAGACAAGAGGCATTACAGTAATAAAATTCTAACGATCGTACCATAGTTTATTAAGTTTTTGTGACAGCAGAAAAATTTTTGCACCATTTTTTTTCAGGTAAAAATCTATTTTCTAATGATATATAAATTACAATGGTTCCCGTGGTCACCATCTCCGACATAATTTCCTACTTTATTGTTACTAATAAAAGATTGTAGGCTAATTTGGAATCAATCGTGTTTTCATTTCGATGTTCTAAAGTTTATAAGCCGCTGTAATAATGATTGAAGAAAATAAAAGTTGACGCCACACATTCCAATAGTCTACATATTTTTATTCCTTTATAATCTACATGCATTCCTCAGTGAAGCTGAAACTATTTTTAATGTGATTTTTCCAGAGCCTGCAGTTTCACAACCAAAGCTTCCGCTGATACCCGGCAAGGGCAGAATCCTTTACCAAGATAACATCATCAAGTTTGACAAAGTTCCGTTAGTAACTCCAAACGGAGACATTTTGGTCGAGGAACTTTCTTTCCAAGTGAGATCAGGAATGAACGTGCTTGTTTGTGGCCCCAACGGATGTGGAAAATCCTCCCTATTCAGAATACTAGGAGAGGTGAGTTGATAATGTCTTCTTGATTGTGAAAAAAGCTCTATATATTTTTTTGTCATATAAACAACTCCTTAAGAATTATTCTATAGGCTATTGCACTTCCTTACAAGTTTACTTGTTTTTTATGTCTTTTGCTTTTAATTATTTTATACTGCACATTTCAGAACTCTCTAGCAAAGGTAAACCCATGGGCATTCTTTCCTGGGTCAAAAACAAATTTATTTGTCTAGTCTAAACTCTTTTCTTTTTGTATGGACAAAAATTTAAAATCTTTGTTTCGATACAGCAATGATTCGAAATCAGACATGTTCAAGCTCAGGATTACATTAAATTTTAATGCTTTCTAAAATGAATCCCCTATGGAATATCACAAAACAATTTTATTTTAAATTCTAACACCTGGATTTACAAAGGAAGAATTCAGGGATTTCCTTTATTTTATTGGACATATAATATACTGTATATTTTTGTCAAACCAATGATTATTGTAACTTACCATGATCCAAAATCCTACAGTGATCCTAACTAAGCACCATGTTTGCTGTAAAGATATTTCTTCAATGTTTCAATAGTGACTTTAGTATTTGATGTCATTTATTGTGCTACTGCTACCATAACCTTTTTCAGCTTTGGCCACTGTTTGGAGGCACGGTCACTAAGCCTCCCAGAGGAAAGCTGTTCTACATCCCCCAACGCCCGTACATGACTCTTGGCACACTCAGAGACCAGGTATTAGTTCAACATAAAAGTATTCAAACTTGTGATTCATTCACATATAGAATATAAAAAATCTTTACTTTATAGGCCAGTTTGTGTTTGAAAATCCCCTTTGCTTCAGGTTATTCTTGGCTTAAAAACTTCTCCATCTTCTCCTTATCTTCCGCAATCCCTCTTCCTCCACCATCTACCATCTTACATTTTCTCTCACATGTCATAACTATCTTGTTTAAAACAAAAGGTCAGGAGAGAAAATCCCCCAATTTCATACTATCCCTCTCTTAACTCCCTCCCCCCCCCCCCATAACTTAACCCCCGTCTGCCCACTTCGCAGACCGAAACCAAAATGTCAAGGATTTACTCAAGTTTATAAAAATTAAAGAAAAAAACAACTACCATCTTCTCCTGTGATCGTCACAATTTCTTGACATTACCCCATGGTCACAAAGAATCATCATCACCTCCTGTGCTCGCCGATATTTCTTGATATTACTTCGTAGTTGCAAAGAATCATCATCACCTCCTGAGCTTGCCACAATTTCTTGACATTACCCCACGGTCACAAAGAATCATCATCACCTCCTGTGCTCGCCGCAATTTCTTGACATTACCCCACGGTCACAAAGAATCATCATCACCTCCTGTGCTCGCCGCAATTTCTTGACATTACCCCACGGTCACAAAGAATCATCATCACCTCCTGTGCTCGCCGCAATTTCTTGACATTACCCCACGGTCACAAAGAATCATCATCACCTCCTGAGCTTGCCACAATTTCTTGACATTACCCCACGGTCACAAAGAATCATCATCACCTCCTGTGCTCGCCGCAATTTTATGACAAAGACATCACTATGCAATATAGGCCTCCAATTATCACAGCAATATCTTGACATTTCCCTGCCAAGATGTCACTGTTGCCTTTTGTGATTGTGTATCTTGATGTTTTCCCGCAGTAGCCAAGACATTGCTATCGCCTCACGTGATCGTGGCAATATCTTGACATTTCCCTGCTTTTAAACTTTAAAGATATCATCATCACCTCCCATTTTAATTTTAGTGCCAATATCTTTACAATCCCCCACGGTGGCGAAGAAATCATCAACGTATCCCGTGATCACGGCAACATAAAGAACATCTCTAGCAACCACAAAGACATTATGTTGTTGCAAGGAACAAATAAATGTTAGTTATAGCCAATATTCAGTTGCAAGTGTTAATAGATTGTATGAATTTAACAACAATAAACTTTTTACTGCTACTTATAAACAAACTTCATAAATAGTTATCAGTAGCAATATATAAAATATATCCTCCTCCAAAAATCTTAGTGGTGCAAGTGTGCCCCTGTCTCCCCTCTTGGCACCCTTGGCCCTTATTATTATATTTTTTATAAACACACTCCGAGACCCATCTTAAATTACGCCCGACAGTTAGTGTGACCTTCAACATTGTAAACAACACTTTTTATTTCAGTTGGTTTTACTACTTTCCAGGGAGTTTGCTGGTTTTCACTGTACGCCTGAATGTTCCAGGTTATCTATCCACACACTAGAGAAGAGATGCTGCGTAGAGGCAAGACAGACGCTCAGTTGGAGGCACACCTGGACCGGGTACAGTTGGCGTACCTGCTGCAGCGAGACAAGGGATGGGACACCATCGCGGACTGGATAGACGTCTTGTCGGGCGGAGAGAAACAGAGGATTGCGGTTAGTAACGGATAATAGGTTAGAAAAAGGTTGTAATAATGTGTGGTAATTGTTGATAGAAAATCATGAATGTTGTATACTGATTTATCCATCTTCATAATAATGTGAATGTTTCTAAATTACAAATACTGTAATGGTTTAAATTCAACTCCAAGATGAAAATGGCAAAAATACCGGTAACAGTGTACTGTACCGATTTTGTACCAAGAACCAAGGTTCAAAACACTCTTCGTGTAGATTTCTTCATTTTTGTCTTTTTTTCTTGTAACTTTTTGCTAACAACTCTTTTAGGCTGGAGTATGTTTCTGTTTACTTCTATCAAACAGACGTTAATGATATTGTATTGTTCATGGTAGTATGTGTTGTAGTTTGCATTGTATATAGCAGCCAACAGCTTAAACTCCTGACCCTGTACCACCCCTCTACATCTGGTTGTTTAGCTTTCTCTTCCTTTGTATAAGATGCATTTCAGTGTTTATTTTCTTAGGCCAATACATTTTATCATTATTTTAGTTCAAAGTTATTTGGTCGAGAGGAGTAAATGGAACACACTATGAAATCTAAAATAAAACCAGAGGCTAAAACATACTATTAAGCCGCCTTTACACGAAGCCAGTAGAGCAGGTCGGTTACGGGGCAGGTTACTTGATTCTAATTTCAAGTTACATGGGGCAAGTAACCTGCTCGGCAACTGGTTTCTTGTAAACACGGCTTTACTTTGCTTGTCGCTCTTTAGTCGTACCTATGCATTTGTACCTAGTAACAGTTTATGGAATTATATAAATATTATTTTAAACCCTCCTCACTGAAAGTAACTATTTTGAATAACAGCTGTCATAATTTTGTTCGCTGATTTATACAGATGGCGCGGTTGTTCTACCACCAGCCACAGTTTGCCATCCTAGACGAGTGTACGAGCGCAGTCAGCGTGGACGTGGAGGGCTCCATGTACCAATATTGTCGTGAGGTTGGCATCACTTTGTTCACCGTCAGTCATCGCCGTTCACTGTGGAAACATCATGAGGTAGGAATAGTAAACAACTTTTATATGAGTAACACGTCAATCTTAAAAGGTTAGGCAAAGTCTAAACTTCTTTAAAACACCTTGTGAAGAAAAATGTTTTAAATCTTCAACTTCCGTCACCTAATACTATTATTCTGTGTATTGATCGAAAGATGTAATGTACCGTTATAATATAAGTAACTTGGGAAAGCGTGGAGACTGCGGTGATACAATGGTGGAGACAGCTGGTTTGGAACAAGCAATGTCTGACTTATCATCCAAAGCTGCGACTGCCGAACTACCGTTCAAAACATTCTGATTTGTGTTCCGACTTTGCTTGGATTGGTGCAAACCTTTGTTTTACACAGAAGCCAAAATTGAAATAATCTCAATTTCTGTCTTTTTGTGATGTTCAAATTTTGCACGAAAATCTGTTAACAGAAAGCAAAGTGGTTGGATATTCGGAGGAAGTACTTATTCTAGGGTCGTTTATGGGTGTTCAACGTCATTATGTTTATTTATGTTATTTATGTTTATATTTTAAACTGAAACCATTCAAATTATTTTGACTGAATAAATATTTGAAATGTAGAGTCCATAGTTTTTGCAATCTTGTCACATATCTTGTGGATCATTCTGCAGGGCTAATTGTTTATATATTTTCAGTATTATCTTCAAATGGACGGCAGAGGTTCGTTTGACTTCAAGCCGATAGAAGAAGACACGGAAGAGTACGGGTCGTGATGTAAATATCAGGTATCGGACGGAAACCTAGACAGTGTGTTAAGGTGGCAGTTTACTGTATCTGGTGATAAGGTAATAGTGGACACATTGCAAACGTTTCTATATTGTATATACTGTTGGTATATATTTTTCTCAAATGTATATTCTTGTAGGTATTTTTGTCTGTTTACATGTTATTTTAAGTGTTTGATATAAGGTTACTTTAAAAGTAAAATATGTACATTCAGTTTATTTGTGTCCGATTGGGCGTTTTCTAGCTTTCTAAAAGCTAACAGGATGTTCAGAAACAAACCTAGTCAAAAATATCAGTTGTAAATCAACGTTTTATCAATATTTTATTTAATGGGATTGAGACAAATTTTAGTTAATTGACAGTGCAATTTATACAGCTTTATTGTAACAATGTGTTTTAAACATTTTGTTATGTCTTAGTTGAATGACTAATAAGAATGAATGAGATTATCATTCATGTATTTGTTTTGGACTTCAAATATTAATTGTGTACAATTCTTTGTTCTTTTACATTATTGGTTCTGTTTTTATCAATCCAAAAGGCTGACTTTGCATTTGTGGATGTACCTTGCATGTCCATAGCCACTTACACATACAAGGCTAAGTCTGTTCCGTCTATTGTGGAACTTAAATAATTCAGACACCAAGTTTGTCATACGTTGAAGTTTTAAAATATTTGGGCTATTAAACATTTACCTATTATATTGAAAATACCAAAATTATTTTGACTATGATTATATAGGATACAGTAGTGTCGATTATACAAAGCCCAGTCATCTAAACCAACAAATAACCGAAAGGCAGATTACCAGTGTCAAGAAACGATTAATGGTGATGCCACGGCCGTAAGATTTGCTCACTAGTGTTGCCCACGATTGTGTGAAACTATTAGCAGTATCGCCAAGTCCGAAAGATATGCATTTTCAATCAGCTGCATTTCTCAATGACAGGTTATAAAATGTTAGTAACTGTTCTTAAAAACTAACTGTGTGGGAATTGTTTGAAATTTCAAAGAGGTTTGTAACTTATATATTTATTCAAAATGCAACCAATTGTGTAAATTGGTTATTTGGGTATTATACGATTCATTTAGACCATTGGGTATATACAGGGTGTCCCGGAACTCTCTACCAATATTTTAGGGCATTGCTCCTGGGTAAGAAACATTCCTAAATATATTTAAATTGTCAGGAAGTCCTTGGTTACTCACACAGCCGCCATTTTGTTTTTTCAGTTATTAATTTTTTTCTAAAGAATGGTTAAACATACGAAATGGAAACCATCACTACCATCAAATATTTATTTTTAACTGCTCTATGTTGAAAAAATATAAAGCGTAGTTCTTTTAACTTAACTTAATCATTTTAATTCTTAAAAAGTAAAAAGGTATTCTATTAGAACCATCTGGAATGATAATGCTTTAATATTTAATAGACTGTTGTAGCTAAGAATTATACTATGTTAGCATTTTAGCCAAAGTGTGCTAAATCTTGTTTCATTATGTTTATTTTAACACGTTCACTGTGCATTATGAGTATTCTCGTCACCGCTAGCGCTTTCCAGTGGCTCACAACGAGTCTACTTGTCAAAGCGCCGTTTACAAACTCTTGTTCTAATGCGAGGTTAGCCACTGCCGCGAGATGTTGTTTCGCTTGCCATTTATTGTGCCAGTTTTATACTTAAATCTGGTATAATTTGTTTTCAGATCCAACTATTTTATTGGTGGTAGGGATTGTTGCTAATTTGTTGTAGAATGGGGTTTAGGCTTGGATCTAATGACATGTAATAGAATAACGATAATGAATGTACTGTAGCATTGTGGAAGGAACCTAACCTCAAAATTGTGCTTGACCGGTTTATTGCGGTATCTTTTTGTAGTATATCCAGGTAATTCACCTCTGCATGTTACCTCCATTTGGCAATACTGAGGGCCGGCTAGTAGTATTGTTTAGTGCTGCTATCTGTTGGGTTCTTGTAAAATTATGTCCACAACGACTGGGACATAGTACATGCCTCTCATTTGGATGAAACTAAATTTAAATGTTTTCGTGCACTTATCCATGCAGCGCATTAGATGTTTGCAGGGCCAGCCTTTGCGCAACTACATTGAACATTGAACGTGTTAATACATTTCTTATATTTTTTTTTCTGTTAAAAATCCAAATTTAAAACCAATTTAGATGTAAAAATATGATCAAGCCTTTATAATGAAAAGACTTTATACAACAATTTATAAAATAAACCAAAATGTTAAACCAAACCAGGCAATTTTCGTTTGTTAAGGGTTTTATAGCTATTCAAATGTTAAGATGTAGAAGTACTTATCAAGATCTTTCCACTTGTGATATCTATATTATTTTGTGATACTGCTTGAGTGTTCTTGTTATTTTAAAAAATCAGAGCTTTTACACATCACAGTAATCATAAACTTACTACATTTTCTATAGACCGTATTGTTTAATTTATATCCGTAATTTAAGTTTTATATTACATTCCTTAATTTATTTCTGTAAAGATCAAATGTATGTACACGCAAAATTGGGATATGTTATTGTAATTTTTAAAGAATATTTTTGTTGTTTCACAAAACAAAATTACTGTTTTTAATAAGTTTGTGTTTGTATTATTCATCAATTTACCTTTTCCACAATTTTCCTTTAAATTTTGGTTTCTTCCAGTACACCAGACTGTAAATATTTAAAGATTAATATTTTTTAGTAATAACTGTTTATTATGCATCAGAAAGATCCGTCGAACTCATCACTTGTTGTCAAAGTTTTTTTTTATACTCATCAATTATAAAAAATTTTGTATCTCTGTATCTGTGTGTGACCTTGGTTGGATTATATCATGATATTGTTCAGAAAGGCACTCTTTGTATGATATAATAACTTCTTGATATCTGGCTGTTAAAATAGGTAGAATATTCGTTCCTCTTACACATTGCGCCCTTAGAAGCATTGTTTTCTAATTTGGGCAGATAGGTATTTTTGATGTGAAAATGGTGAGTTTCAGATTATTTCAAATTTTGTCGTGGAGCGGCTTCAAACTGTGGAGCACATAATTAGTGAGAGGTGTCTTAGTTTTACTGGTTTGCCTGAAAATGGCTGGTTTGCATGTGACATGTGAGACAGATCTTCAATATATTATTAGTAGCAGATTACCCGTCCTTCGTACGGGGTTGGCATATAAGTATAAAATGCTTATTACAGTTAAACTCAAGCTTTGCTTTTGCAATGGGGGAGGACACAGTTTGATACAATTTGGTTCTTGGATAATGAAGTAGTCTCCTCAGCTGTATGATCCAGCTGTTGCCAATTGGTTGCACGGTCCATTTAGTGTGTTGTTAAATTTTGTCTTCGTCTTTCTCTTTAGTTTATTGTTACTATGAAAGTGCATATAGGAGAAAGATGACAAAACGTATAATAAGTTGTTCTTTAGGAAGTTAGTGTTCTTGACACAAATCGGTAATTTACTTTGACCACAGAGAAGTGAGGTACAGTGAAAATACGCTTGTGGGACAACCGTGCGCCTTCAGCTCTAGTATGTTGTGCCAGAAATATACTTGTGCAAGGAATAGTCTGAATGGTGAGCACTGTACGGAAAATCTTGTTCCACAGGTCACAGGGTCTTCCTCCTCCACATTGTGTGTAGTATATGATGGTGAGGGGGCAGTGTTGGACTTTGCCCTACACACCACTTGTGTACCATTGACTGTTTCCTCTGTACCTTACTTATGCTTTCCCGAACTGTTGTGGCTTCAATCATAATATAGGAATTGGAATATCTAGTATCCTTTGTCACAGATTTTATCCATCTCTATAAAAGATTAGATCTTGTCTACACTGATACAGTATGTAATTTTATGTATATGTTGTGTAATTATTCTTAACCATTTTTAGTTTTATAAGTCATTCAAATTTGTGCGTTTACCTTTCACTTTCAGGGATGAAGGACACTCACAATTGACTGTTTATGCAACTGGGTGATCATAACAAATTTGAAAATATGCTCTTCGAAAGTGTGTTTTATCATCCAAAAGGAGGTCAGTAGGCAATTTTTAACAAGGGGGAGGCAGGATTTCAGTAATTGGGGTGTAAAAGTAATTTCTTTTTCTGAGAAACCCCTAATTTCATCATGAATGACCAAATACCAACTGGTAAAAATACTACACAGAAAATGTGTAATTGCATAGCTTTATTCAAAAATAACATTACAATCATGATATGTATTTAAAATAATGCAATGTTTATAAAATCACAAAGTTAAAACTACAATTAGGCTAGTTCCGGTAAGGTTTACGTCGGTCACTACCAATACTACCACTACACTAACTCTAAATAAGGGATGTTTCACTAAGTCAACACCACATATCACAATAACACTATTAATGATAATAGTACTTGATAAATATATTTGTTTTATTAGTAATTATCAGCAATCTATTTCCTATAAATTGATTTAACGTTTGTGTGGAAAATTTGAACTACAAAAATATTTTGTTTTTGAATAGTCACAGTGGCAGCGATTGGAGAGGGGCATTTTTAGAGGAAGGAATATGTTGTATTGGTTCATATATTGATGTAATTTTTATTCATTTTATCATCACTATGCCTTCTGGATGGTTTTGCCAAGGTACTTGAAGTGGCCAATCGCTGCCACTGGAAAATTGTTTTATCTTTTAAATTTGCTGTGCTGAAAAATGTACTAGTCTGGGTTTTTAGATATATGAAACTATTAAGTGAGCCAGTACATTATTCATGTTAAAACAACCATTATTGTGGTTTATGATTTTGTTTAATTTTTTTTATGGGATTTTTAAACTTGTTTCACTTTGTTTGCTGATAGGAAATAGTTGCTCAAAATTACTTTATTTAAAGCTTAAAATTATCTTAAAGCCATTTTTTCTTTGAGTAATTTTGAAAGTAAACGTATTATTCGGTCCATGCGTACTCTATTATAAATGTACAAAAATGTGTAGCCTATATAAATTATGCCACGTACAAAAGTACTTGTTACTTTAATAGTAAAGGAAAGAGAGATCAATTATTCATAGCATTATATTTTTGGCAAGAAATAAGAATTCTGTGCTAATAGTTTTAGTATTGGTAAAGAAAAAAAGGACAACATTTATGCTTCAGTACTCAAAACTTTTGTTTGGATTATATTTCAAATAATAATTTCCAGACTCTTTAATTTTTTCCCATAAACACATATATAAGTTACATTAGTGGAGAAAGAGTTTAAAATAATTAATTCTAGTAACACTCACTCTTGCAATATCACAAGGAAAGGAAAAACAAGATTAAAAACCTCTTCAATCTGGACGTAGTTCCTTTGATCAATCAAGGTCCAAATTATTTTGATTGAAGATAGTTTTAAATACTAATCTTATGCGACTTTGAACCTTACTTTTTAGTAAGCAACAACAACATTTTGTAGTCAGTTGAACTGTTTAAACTTAATCTATTACACAAAGTTATATTATTCTTATCCAGTTATTAAAATAGGACGTACAACCGTTGTTCAGTCTTGAATGTGTTTGCTGTCAACGTTTACTTCTAGTCTTCATCGTGAATCTCCTCCAGAAGCTGACTTTTCGACCGTCTTCCTCCTCGTCGTAGTTCTGTCCTCGCTCGACAGACAACTCCCGAGTAGGAGATCCGTGGCCGGAGTCAGTATCGTCCAGTCTTGTATTGCTTGGAGTTTGCACATTTTTGCTGTCCCCACTCCCAGTCCTCAAGAAATCTAAGAAGTTTGACTCTCCACTTGTCTTTTTACCTTTCTTCTTCGCAGAAGTTCCAAAACTCAAACTTTGCAGATTCAGTTCCGCCTTCAACTGTTCAGGGGGAATGTCTTCTACTCTAAATTCGTTGGGATCTTCCACAAACGCTTGTTGTAAGTCTCTCATGATCTTCTTCCTTATTGTCTTCTTCATCGACAGGTGTCGTTCTAAATGTTTCACGTCTTGCTCAGTTTTCTCCCTTCTTCGTTGTTGTTTCTTCTTCTTCGAAGATGACGTTGTGTTCTGCTCCTCGTCACTGGTGGACCCCAGTGATATTGCGCTGTCGTTGCCTCCGTTGGTGGATATTGAACTGCTGTCGGCATTTTTGAGATTGCAGTCGTCCCAGCTCTCCCTCGAGTCTGTATCGTGGTGTTTCTCTTGGGAATTCTTCTTTTTGTCGTGGAACCCAAAAATGTCCCTCAAATGAGGAATGTTCCTCTCTGACTGATGTGCCATCTTGTGCTACCTGGAAACAAAACGAAAACTGATTAGATTTTGTAGGATAAAACTTAACTAATGAGATTATTATAAAAGTGAATGAAGAGAATAAGTGGCCCTAAAAAGGTTGAAATCTCTGGGATGGCTTCAACTAGAGCCTGAAGAGATGGGAGGAATGGACCTCCCACAGCTTCTAGGCTATGCCAAAAGTCTAGGACCGTCAGACTGAGCTGAGGGGTGCTACAAAAGATGAACAGGTCGAAGTAGCCTGAGGTAGGAGTACCCCGACCCGTCCCCACGAAAAAAGAGAATAAGCTGTCATGATGTTACGAGAAATTAGGATGGATGAGCTAAATATCAGTAAATTAGCTGCAATTGTGGCTAGATATGATATAATCGAACGCCCATCACTAAGAGATTTTTTATTGAGGGTTTAGCTTTTTAATGGAATTGCAACACAGCTATTTCCAGTTTATTGTGCACCTTCACTACAGTACCAGATTCCCTCAATCGTCACATCCAAGATCTTTTACTTGGAGGTTTTCTTCATGATCAGTCTTTGGCCCTCTCCTTGTTCTCGTTGTCCTGGATCTCATGGGAATACCCAAGAGCACATAGATGTTATCCATATTTCAAGCTCTATTAAGACTGGATTCAATTGAATGAGTCGGCAAACACTGTTGTGTCCCAACTGAAGTGAAATTTGACGTTGTCTAGTTGCAAATTGTCTGTTGATTTGTTTCTTCGGCCGGCGGAAGTGGAGGTGACATTGTGAGATACTATTGTGGTCACTTTCCCTGCCTCTGACCTCAACCAATCTCCACTCACTGTCTCCTAACTGCTCCTGGCGGTCTTGTCCTAGACCTTTCTCTTGATGCTGATTCTCTCAATCTCATAATGGCTTCCTTCCATCGGTAACGTCACTAAATGGTTGTTAGGACTGTTTACATTGCTTCCTCGTTTTCACTGACAAATGATGTTGTAGAGGGACACCAGATGATTTGGATTGTTGGACTCAAAACAATTCATTCGGATTGGAAAGTGCTAAGAGAGCCTATTAGTGGTGTCTTTGGGGTGTTCTTTGCAAGTTTACCTTGTGGTTGCCAGTAGTTTCTTTGTTTGATGATTTGCTCACATACTTCTATCCACGTATGTTTATTAGAATGAAATAAAGTATGTAGCAAGAGATCTTCATTGATTAAAACTGTTTGATTTCCATTTAATTTCATCTTGCAATTGATTGTGTCATCAGTGCATATGGGTTGAGTACTAGCAAAAATAAGAAGGGGTGTAAGGACAAAAAATGTTAACATTACCGGTACTGTACAATGTTTGGTGACAATCTAGCCAACCAGGGCCATAATTTTCGATCACTCACACATCAGCTCATGATAAAGTGTGTCTAATGTTGATAGGGTAGAAGGTAGAAAGAAAGAACAAGCCTATTACATGAGTTTTGTCTTTTCATTCTTAAAATATTTCTAGCCTTATATTTAACACGCGCTAGTTCAAATAAAAATCTCGCATTTAAAATCACATTCAGGAATTCAATTTAATTCCTAGAGACAGTGACACCTACAGTACTCGGGATTCTATTCTATTTTAAGCCAAATATGAATAAAAGGCGAGTTTGGATTGGAGTGAGATGATCTGGCAGCTTTGTTACTGACTAAGACCATCTGTTTCTAAATTACTTTATAATCGGCTGCTGAAGATTTTGAATGAAACAAAATTACTAGGACCCCATCATTGGGAGGCTAAAAACACTTGACTCAATGGAACAATCATGATATCAATCACAATGCCAATTAAACCAGAGGCAATACCGATGTCAAGTTAATGAAGCACTTGAAGCCTCAAGCTGTTGCTTCAGTCAATTGCAAAGAGAAAACAACCTAATGATGATGATGCGGGCGTCTAATGAACCCACTACTATCAACTGTGGTTAGGTTAGGTTGGTGGAGATGACTCAAAATGGTAACACGGGTTGGATATCTAGAAGTGTGCCACCTTGAAGTTTTAGCTGGGAGAATCAAGTGAGAAAGATTGATAATTGAGATTTTAATGGTAAAGTGTATGCATTTCATTGTTCCTAAAGACCCTGTCTCGTCGTGTTGTTTAATCAATTTAACAATTGAATCGACAGTGATTTACCTATTGCCTACTGTGGTCATTATTGGTATACTATTTAAACAAGAGGATGTTGAATTAGATACAGTAATACGATCTGTGTAGCTTTGTTACTGACAAAACTCAGCTGTTTGTTTAGTCAGGACCGCGTTTGTAGCTATAAGAAACCCAACCAAGGACACCCAGGGCCAGTTTCGAACAACTGACTTTTTCTCAGGATCGATGAACTGACGATCTTCTGATTATCATGAATTTATAGAGCAGTCCTTGGTCATGCTTGGTACAACAAAAGTTAATTTTTTATAAATAATCCTGTAATATTTTAATAAAAAGCTACAGTTATATCGATTACATCAGAATGGGGTAAAACCCCACTGCTGTCACTAAAGGTAAACCCGAATTTAAGTTATCTCTAGACCCGTCGTCGCCGTCATTAACACATTTACCTAATTGAGAATTAATGCCAAACGATAATTCTGAATGGCGGAAAAACGCCAGAGTGGAATCGAAGGACCACCTAAAATTGGACGGTGAGATACTGTCTTTGGTGACACACCGATGACGTCACTGAGAAAAACCACAGGTGATTGACTAAAGACACACGAAGACCGTTAGATGACTTTACAACAGGAAAACTAATCTGATAAGTGATACACATCAGTTAATCAGCTATGACGTTTAGTTTGCTTCCTAGGGCACTCTCCCGTCAAAGTTGGCGTTTGTATTTCTATTACTAAAATAAAGCAAATAAAATATAAACGCCATAACACTTGCCTTGCCTAATAAATAAATACTGTAGTGCCTTAGCAACCAAACAACAGGAAGAACGATGCTGATGAACACCGACTGTAGAAGTGGAGTGCGGCTAAGAAGCACTACAGCACTGCTTTTGTGCGACAAACTAAAATGAAAACGACATAATCGTGAGGTGACTGGGCAGTCGCTATATAGTGTAGGCTGTACAGACGGTCGTTCGGTCGTTCTAATGACCTCGGCAAAGCAAACCAGATCCCGGCCTAACCTAACCTACTGCCACTGCCACTAACCACTGACCATGGCCCCCACATTTAATTGTGGGCCCTGTTACCAGGATCTGGCTCGGGCCCCCCTACCAACCGGGGGGTCGGGGGGGTATGGAATACCCCCCAGCGTAGAGGGGGGGTCCGGGGGTCCCCCCCGGGAAAATGTTGAAAATGTCATGTATTTTAGTGAGTTTTTAAGGCAATCTAGGTATTAAATTTGTGAGTGGTAAATGGCACTTTTGCAGCCTTTTTTAAGGAAGAAAAGAGTTCTTCAATGAGTTTTATAAGACTTAAAATTACAGGAATTCAGCAATTAAAACTATTATATCAATACACAAAAGCTCCATGCCTATTAATATTTTGTCCTTTTTTTCCCTGTAAGAGGGTTTGGCTATCTTAACTGCTATAATTGTACTTTGTAATATGGAGCAGGAAAAAACTTACGTAAATTGAGTTTAACAGCTTACACCAATGAAATCATATTTTATTCAGTGACAATTTTCATCAAGAATTTTAACAATACTACATTTTTTGGGAGTGGATGCCTGAGCTGCTGAACTTGCGCCGAGTAGTCACGGAGAAAAACAAATGTGCACGAGTAATGCCGAGAATGACCGATGCTATCCAATCCATGCTTTAGTACAGTATTATACCGAGCAAATTGGGAAGAAAACTTAGGTCAAAATTATTAGGCCTACAATCTTTCATATTTTTGAAACTCCAAAAGTAAAGAATTTTTAAGTTTGTGTCAAATAACCTAGATTGCAATAATTATTAATTGAAATATTCCATGATACATAAAAGTGCAACCGGGACCAAATGTTGATAAAACAGGACAAATAAGCGTCCCGAGAGGATTTGTCGGGACGGACCAGTCCCCCTAAAACGGGACGTCTGGTCACCTTAGCTATGGTACATAGTACATGTCAATTTTTCAATGCTTTACAAATTTTATTTTAACTTATAACTATAAGGATTCATTCTTGAAACTATCAGTTCAATTATAAAACCAAACTTTGTTTATTATGGGGGGAATGAGGTAGGAGTGGCTAGGCGCCTGGCGGGAGGAAGGGGTAGAGGGAGTTTGTGGAGCCGGCCACTGGGGCCCGAGCTGGCTGTTCTGCTGTTGTTTAGTACATACGCACCTACGCACCTATAGAATTTAAATATAAACTTCCTTAGAATCAAGAATTAATACATTTTAAATTATTTAACTTTGTTTTTTGCAAAATATTTAAATATTATTTTTTTATCTTCAATGTATGAGCTGTAAAGTGATCTTCAATGGGGAAAAAAATAAAAAACAAATGGGTAGGCCCGGGCCCCCTGAGGGCCCGGGCCCTGTGACTAGAGTTGCGCCAGCCCCACCCTTGTGGGGGCCATGCCACTGACACTGCACCATAGATCACATTTCCTACGATCTAGCACACTTCCGTTTACTGATGGATGTTGATTTGTAACAGTTGGTTTATTGGTTTAAAATTGCTGTTGTCTCTAGGCTGAACTGACGTTACAGCCAAGGGGGGTAATATTCCGCCTGCGAAGAAACGTGAGAGCACTCAGGTCAATTCGCCATAGCGACGTCATTTTTGCCAGGAGGGTTAAAATCCAAGGGTTAAAATTGCGGCGACCCCTCTAGTGCTATCTGCGCTGATCAAATTGATAAACAACTATTTAAGGTTTGAGTACCGTACCATTATTATAAAATTGTACACAAACAATACAGGCACAGTTCCCACTACAGAGACCTTTCGTTTATTTTTTGTTATGGGGACTTGAAGCTTACGACTCCCAACCATCAGTCTACGACACTATAACAAAAAGGTTAGACAAAGCTTACTGATTGGCGACTAACGAGATTTGAACTCGAGTATCT